TGGCTCTTTAACTTCATGGTTAATATCTGGTTTCAATGACGGGGAACCGCATAACGTTGCGAAAATAAAAACCCACGAATTCCAAAGTATGTGCAAAATGTAGAGCTCATCCAGATCTAACGTCCGTGGCAGAATCCAAGCTCGTGGCTCTTTAACTTCATGGTTAAAATCCTGTTTAAATGACGGGGAACCGCATAACCTCGCGAAAATAAAAACCCACGAATTCCAAAGTATGTGCAAAATGTAGAGCGCATCCAGATCTAACGTCCGTGGAAGAATCCAAGTTCGTGGCTCTTTAACTTCATGGTTTATATCTGGTTTAAATGACGGGGAACCACATAACGTCGCGAAAATAGAAACCCACGAATTCCAAAGTATGTGCAAAATGTAGAGCTCATCCAGATCTAACGTCCGTGGAAGAATCCAAGCTCGTGGCTCAACGCCTTTACGGTGAAAATCCGGTTTATATGACGGGGAACCGCATAACGTCGCGAACATAAAAACCCAGTAATTCCAAAGTATGTGCAAAATGTAGAGCTCATCCAGATCTAACGTCCGTGGACGAATCCAAGTTCGTGGCTCAACGCCTTCATGGTTAAAATCCGGTTTAAATGACGGGGAACCGCATAACGTCGCGAAAATAAAAACCCACGAATTCCAAAGTATGTGCAAAATGTAGAGCTCATCCAGATCTAACGTCCATGGCAGAATCCAAGCTCGTGGCTCTTTAACTTCATGGTTAAAATCCGGCTTAAATGACGGGAAACCGCATAACGTCGCGAAAATAAAAACCAACGAATTCCAAAGTATGTGCAAAATGTAACGCTCATCCAGATCTAACCTCCGTGGAAGAATCCAAGTTCGTGGCTCTTTAACTTCATGGTTAATATCTGGTTTAAATGACGGGGAACCGCATAACTTCGCGAAAATAAAAACCCACGAATTTCAAAGTATGTGCAAAATGTAGAGCTCATCCAGTTCTAACGTCCGTGGAAGAAACCAAGGGCTCTTTAACTTCATGGTTAATATCTGGTTTAAATGACGGGGAACCGCATAACGTCGCGAAAATAAAAACCCACGAATTCCAAAGTATATCCAAAATGTAGAGCTCATCCAGATCTAACGTCCGTGGAAGAATCCAAGCTCGTGGCTCAACGCCTTCATGGTTAAAATCCGGTTTAAATGACGGGGAACCGCATAACGTCGCGAAAATAAAAACCCAGTTTGCATCAGGCACGCTCCGCCGGTTCCTCCAGCGCTGGGACGTACGACATGAGATGTCGTCACCGCACTACCCGCGCGCTAACGGGCACGCGGAGGCCTGCGTGAAGACAGCGAAGAAGCTGGTGCTGGCTGCGTCCTCATCGGGCCGGCTCGACCAGGACCAACTGGACCGAAGTCTGCTCGAACTCCGTAACACGCCCCGAGCAGACGGACGGTCGCCGGCACAGGTGCTGTTTGGTCACCCGCTTCGCTCTGGTGTTCCCACGCACCACCGCGCCTTCGCTCCTGAGTGGCAGCGGGCGGCCGATGTCTGCGAGGAAAAGGCTGCCGAGCTCCAGGAGCAGGCCGTCAGGTACTACAACAAGAGCACGCGCCGGCTGTCACCGCTCAAGATCGGCAGCCGGGTCGACCTTCAAGACCCCGCCACCGGCCGATGGAACCGGATCGGAGTGATCGTGGGCGTCGGTCAGCGGCGCACGTACCTCGTCAAGACGGCCAGTAACAGGGTCCTGTGGCGTAACCGCCGCTACCTGCGCCCATACCGGCCGCTTCTGACGGAACCCACCCCGCCTGTGGCTCCGTCCGCCCCGCGCCCGCCCGCTGCGGGTGCGCCTCAGCCGCCGCCGCCGCCGCCAGCGCGCACCGCGGTCGCCGCCGAGAGGGCGGTCCGACCCGCCGCTAGTGCGCCGGCCGTGTGCCGCTCGTCGCCGGTGCGGTCACCCGAGGTGGAGACGGCCGCCGCCGCTCTCCCGCGTCGTTCTCGACGGCAGCGCCGCGCTCCTGGTCGGCTCCGAGTTCAATGGGGTGCGACCTCGTATGCGGAGTGACTGTGAGACAACGTCGTGCATTGTTGTGTTTTTGTGTGTTTTTGACGACTGTTGTCTCGAGGGGGGATGTTGTGTTCGGGTATAGGGGGTGTGTACTTGGACCGCCTCTGCGGCCCCACCTCTGTGCGCCTGGGAGCGCCCCTGCCGACGCTCAGCTGATCGTGCGCGCCAAGCGGCATGACTGGCGCGGGCGACTAGGCGTGGCGCTCGCCATACTTGTTTAGTTTTTGGAGGACTCTCTCGGCCCATTCGCACCAGCAGTAAATAAATCGCGTTTCTCTTACGCTCTCTCTCACTCGAACCGTGAATTACGAACATAACAGCCTGCAGGGGGCAAAAACTGCAAAAATAGCCGATTTTTTCGGAAACAGTTTTTCTGCAATAACTTTTGACCCAAGCCTTGTACGAGCTTAATTTTACCGGCATCGTGTTCCTCTCGTCAAGACGCATCGAATGAACTATAACTTGACCTTGGAAGGTCAACTTGAAAATTTGACCTCAGGTCAAGGTCATGACCTGACCGGAGAGGGTCATGTTGCATATCAGTCGATCCGTATCGTCGAGCTGAACACATCTAAGGCGTTTTCATCGCTCTAGCATGCCTCTATCAAAAGTTATTTGCGAAAAAACTGTTAGATACCATTCGTGACCTAAGATGACCTCAGGGCATAAACAGGGGTCACGGACACCATTTTCATGTTCTGTGTGTCTAAACCACTTGTAATTCGGTGTTTGGGAGTGTTTATAATGTCTTTCGTCCAAAAGAGGCGCATTTCAATTTTCTCCCTTTGACTTATAATGCGGAGGTCGCAAAATTGACCTGACCTTAGGTCATCGATATCAAAATTCTGAGATATACATTTTGTACATGCTATTGCTCTTAGCAATCGCTGAAAGTTTCAAAGCGATCGGTCACTCTGTGTAGCTATGACAGACATTGAAGCTTTTTATGAGGTGAGGTCATCCGCGCCGCCGTTTTTGAGATATTCGCGAAAAACCACAAGGGGGGGGGGGGTGTTCAAACACCCCACCCCCAGCAGGGCGCGGGTTAAAGAGCCACGAACTTGGATTCTTCCACGGACGTTAGATCTGGATGAGTTCTACATTTTGCACATACTTTGGAATTCGTGGGTTTTTATTTTCGCGACGTTATGCGGTTCCCCGTCATTTAAACCAGATTTTAACCATGAAGTTAAAGAGCCACGAGCTTGGATTCTGCCACGGACGTTAGATCTGGATGAGCTCTACATTTTGCACATACTTTGGAATTCGTGGGTTTTTATTTTCGCGACGTTATGCGGTTACCCGTCATTTAAAACGGATTTTAACCATGAAGGCGATGAGCCACGAGCTTGGATTCTTCCACGGACGTTAGATCTGGATGAGCTCTACATTTTGCATATACTTTGGAATTCGTGGGTTTTTATTTTCGCGACGTTATGCGGTTCCCCGTCATTTAAACCAGATTTTAACCATGAAGTTAAAGAGCCACGAGCTTGGATTCTGCCACGGACGTTAGATCTGGATGAGCTCTACATTTTGCACATACTTTGGAATTCGTGGGTTTTTATTTTCGCGACGTTATGCGGTTACCCGTCATTTAAAACGGATTTTAACCATGAAGGCGATGAGCCACGAGCTTGGATTCTTCCACGGACGTTAGATCTGGATGAGCTCTACATTTTGCATATACTTTGGAATTCGTGGGTTTTTATTTTCGCGACGTTATGCGGTTCCCCGTCATTTAAACCAGATATTAACCATGAAGTTAAAGAGCCACGAACTTGGTTTCTTCCACGGACGTTAGATCTGGATGAGCTCTATATTTTGCACATACTTTGGAATTCGTGGGTTTTTATTTTCGCGACGTTATGCGGTTCCCCGTCATTTAAACCAGATATTAACCATGAAGTTAAAGAGCCACGAACTTGGATTCTTCCACGGACGTTAGATCTCGATGAGCTCTACATTTTGCACATACTTTGGAATTCGTGGGTTTTTATTTTCGCGACGTTATGCGGTTCCCCGTCATTTAAACCCGATTTTAACCATGAAGTTAAAGAGCCACGAGCTTGGATTCTGCCACGGACGTTAGATCTGGATGAGCTCTACATTTTGCACATCCTTTGGAATTCGTGGGTTTTTATTTTCGTGACGTTATGCGGTTCCCCGTCATTTAAACCGGATTTTAACCATGAAGTTAAAGAGCCACGAGCTTAAATTCTTCCACGGACGTTAGATCTCGATGAACTCTACATTTTGCACATACTTTGGAATTCGTGGGTTTTTATTTTCGCGACGTTATGCGGTTCCCCGTCATTTAAACCAGATATTAACCATGAAGTTAAAGAGCCACGAACTTGGTTTCTTCCACGGATGTTAGATCTGGATGAGCTCTACATTTTGCACATACTTTGGAATTCGTGGGTTTTTATTTTCGCGACGTTATGCGGTTCCCCGTCATTTAAACCGGATTTTAACCATGAAGTTAAAGAGCCACGAGCTTGGATTCTTCCACGGACGTTAGATCTCGATGAGCTCTACATTTTGCACATACTTTGGAATTCGTGGGTTTTTATTTTCGCGACGTTATGCGGTTCCCCGTCATTTAAACCGGATTTTAACCATGAAGATCAGCTCAAAAGTTAAAATAAATGTCATATTCGTGTTCAGCATGGTCAACTTAACCCATGCCATGAATCTGAAGTGATTTCGAATTCGTCGCTGAATACGTATACGTATACGTCGCTAAGTTCACGGACATAGATTTTTGGCCGGTTCTAATATGCTTTATTGACATGGGAAATGTGTAAACGAACTTTTGAGACACCCTGTAGACAGACTGGCCACAATCAAATTCAAGCATGCCATCACAGTTCACATGCAATGCCCATGTTTATTTAGGGGAGAAGGTAAAGTATATAGGCGCCAAGGTTGGTAGTTGGTAACCTGTGTATCGATATACTACTTACATAAAATCCACTAATCTCATTCAATCCACCCACCATCCGTATTTTCCTCCGACAATCCCGAGTTCGCTTCTGTTCCAGCAGAGTTTCACGGCCACCGGCACATGCGGGAACCCCAGACCGTAAATCACCGTGTGTTGACAGTCCCTCCCCGCCGGTCGGCGCGACTCGCGGGTTTTATTACATGGGGGAACGGCAGGGACCGAGGCGGAGACCCGTACGACATCTAGCGGCACTCCCTTGAACCAACAAAACCGTCAAAAAGTGGATATGAATCTGGCTTAATTCCAGTCACAGTTCAGATATTTCTGAAGAGTAAACTTCATTTTCGTGTGAAGAAATGCTCTGTGCACATTTCTATGTAGCCAGTTTTTTTGTTTTATGCCTCACACAAAAAATGAAAGATGAGCAAAGTTTTACTTTCATTTTTTGCAACATTGCAAAAAGAAAATGGAAAATCGGAGTACATAGAATTGTTGTCCACTTTGAGGAGATGCGGGTGCCATTCATTTTTTGCGCCTAGTTTGAATGACATTTAATGAATTTCGGCTCAAACTTTTCAGTTTTTCCACATTTATCGTGCAATATCAACGTGAATATTGCACGGAATCAAACAACTTGTCCAAAGTAGGCTTTGTATACTCATGGAGCAGGTACATGCCAAATTTGAGGCTAATATCTCTATCGGTTTTCAAGATATTGCGGTTTTTGACCTCCCATTGACTTAACATTAACATCGCACCCTTAATTTTGGCACAAATAGGCACCCAATTTTTGGCGCAAATTATGCGGAAAGTTCAGCGTGAAATTTGCTTGCGCCGCAATTCCGGCGCAAGAGGATCTCACGCACGCCCGGCGTAGTGTATGGATGTTTTCCAATCTGGCACCAGTGCAAGCTAGTTGGCATACTAACCAGAACACCTGTCCTCCAATAATGCCACCTATAACTAACTTTTTCTTATCCTGCATAACCTGTCTTATGCTAGTCTTCAGTGGTCACAAGGGTTTGTCTTTGTCTATACTCTGACAGAATATAGACCAAAGCTTGAATGGTGTTTGTGCTACAGTGTTATAAATTACAAGTTACAACCAACACTAGCAGTCAACACTGGAGAACACTGTCCATCATAAGGGTGGTAACTCAAGCCTCACTTCATGCCTCACAGATACTTTCTGAGTCAATTGGATAACAATCTGCATTGAAGGTTGTGTTGGTTTAGCTTTACTGGCAGATTGCTTACAAGCACCATTGTATACTGACACCATTGTTCTTTTTCAGCCCAAGTTGTTAAAGCTTTGGGTGGATTTTAAAAGGGCATGTACTAGAAGAAATGGTGAAATGCTGTGCAGCATATGGATGTAAGAATAGATTCAAAAGGCAAGACCAAGGCCAAGGTGCAAATTATATTGGCTTTCATAAGTAAGTAACAGCACTAGCATTGTTCAGCTCTTAGACCCCTTTTATTTATCCTCATCTAACAAAGGACTCGTAAATATAGCCACAAATTGTCTGTGGAGTGTCTGCTATGGCAAAAATTATACAAAAGCAGTTACATGCAAGTATGTTTTAAAGTTAACCTCTAAACATCACAACATTAGTCTGATAATGAACTGCTGGCTGCTATAATAAACTGCTAATAAACTGAGCTAATAATGTGTACAGTTCCGTGACATTTATTCTGAGTGAAGTGTGAGCACTTGAGCAGCATACGTGCTGTTCTGCCCATGTCCTGTGCATGCATTGTTCGTTTTGAAATGTTTGTTTCTGTTGTTATTAGAAACATATTATTTCGATTGTATCGTCCTGTATGGCTTTTGTCACAATATATCTGTAATTTGAAAAAAAAAACTGCTGGCTACATAATTAAATAAGGTCTAATGCTAGATCACATCTGTAAAATCATTCTCAATGTGACTTAGGTTATTCCGTAACTGATGGGTAATTTGAGGCAGAAGTGACTGCCATTTTCACTGCTGTTTGCTGCCTACACCTAGTTCATACCAAAAGAGCACAACATATATTATTGATCCACGTCATTAGGACTATTGTAGCCATAAAGCTGTGTCTTCATCCTGATTTCTACCAACACTTGTAATAACTTGTGAGTTTGTTGCTCTTTTCAGTTTCCCCAAGTGTGTGAAAAGAGCAAGAAAGTGGATCCAGGCAGTCCGACGCAAAGACCTAACTCTCAAGAGAGTCATCAAGGGAAGTTTCACACTTTGCAGTGAACACTTTGTAAAGGAGGATTATGTTCCATATGGAGTTCGCCAAAAGCTACAAGACTTTGCAGTGCCATCAGTGTTCCCAACGCACATTGTGAAAGGGTATGATCCGAAGGTAAGTTTGTTCAATGCTCCTCATTCAAAGTCAGTGGTCATTGTGGTCAACCAGTAAGTTGCTGCAAAAACACAAATCCTTTGCTTTACCTAGTAATGTAATGTGTTCATGTGCTGTGAAGTGTGACGTGTGTCTCGGTTTCCTTGAAACAGATGAGAGTCATGGATACTTGCCTCTTAACATCCAAAAAATGTATGCCAAAAATTGGCTTTGAGCTGACAAGCTCTGCTTAGCTAGGCAACTAAGCCCTGCAGCCACTCGTCCTCTCCGTGGCCGAGTGATAAAAGCGCCGGAATTCGACGCTTAGCCGGTGGTGAGAGCCCGGTTCAAGCCCCGGTGCGGGCGGCCACATTTAGCTCCTACGTGTAATGGCGTGCGTGTCTGTGGCAGGGGCCGCACAGAAGCCAGGTAACGTGAGTGAGCGGAGGGGGCCGTGTCCAGTCGTGAGGGCACGTTAAACGTTCGGACAAAATTCTGCCATACAAGTGGAATTGCGCGATCGGGTGGTGGGGTCAGGGTCAGAACAACAAGCTATGCTTAGTGCGGGCTCTGACTCCTCAAATCCACCCATTCAACCATTCGGACTAAATTTATAAAAAAGCCACCCACTCATCAATGATCAAGTTATATTATATTGCTTAAAAAACGCAAGAATGCTGTCTGAGCTACAACATTTTTCCTTGAAGCTCAAACGTGAGCCGGAAAAATGTTGCTCATTCAAATCGATCATAAAATTTTGCGCCAGTTTAACCCTATTCCTGGCGGGGGGGGGGGGCTTTAAGGCCCCCCCTTCAGGTTTTTCTTGTGCCATTGCCAAACGCCGCAAGACTGAAAGCTCATATTCGGTGAATTTTCTAAACATTCATTGCACACATTTTGACAAAAAAAGTTGCCAGGTCAGGTCAGGTCACCAGAGACGGTTTGGTGACCCCACCTCAGAAAAGTTTGCAATCACGCCAGAGCTAGAGTTCTTGACCGATCAATTTCTTCTCTTCAGGTTTTAGTTAGGGTACCAGTATGTGCAATTTGTATATCTCAGAATTTTCATATCTGGGGCATTCCACGTCAAATCGAACAAAAATCGGCTGTTTTGCACCTTACCATCAGCGATTTCAGTATAAATTTGTGAGCGAGTTCCTGTGTGGCCCCCGACATTACATTGATGTTTTTTGCACATTCTGACCACAGGTCTTCTAAATATAGGGCATCAAATTTTTACAAAATGTTGCATATTTATATTTTTGAACAACCATAACTTTGGTTGTACTTGTTTGATTTGAATGAAATAAACCTTACTGTTTAGGTAATTTCTTAAGCATTTGTTTAGAATTGCACCTACTTAAATATATGACCTTGAAAATTGCTTAACTCTGTTCTTAAGCACAAATATTGAAATAGCAAAAAACACGTCACCTTCGATTTGGCTCATTTTCATATATTTTATTGCCTACCATATTCTTAACAACCTGTGAAAAAATTAGAGTGGGCCATTCATAAGTTTTGAAGAAAATTGCACATATGCAAACGTATGTTAGCACGCGCAGTGGAGGGGAAAGAGCGAATTTCGCCCACCCCTCCTGTTTTTCGCCAATATCTCATAAGATTAATGCGAAATTAATTATGGCTACCTGTCAAGAATTGAATTGGACATCTCATCGTGCAAGCAATAAGAAAATCGGTTCACAACTGTTCTAGTAATAGCGGTGTAAAGTGAACATCCTGTCCCCGCAGCGACGCGGCGACTCGGCAGCCGGCGCCGACCGCTACGCGCCGCCTGAATTGTAGACTGTGCCGGGACGGAACGGAACGGTTCCGTCTTTACATCGCGCTCCCTACCGCTGATTACGTTCGATTCGCGTCAAATTTTGTGAGAAGACTAAGAAATGTACAGGCAATCTTATGGTGAAAGAATTTTGAAAATCGGTTGGTAAACAATTGAAATATGAACGTGTAAACACAAAATTGTGATTGCTGCGTTTCCCGCATCGGCCGAGCCCGCCTCAGCCGGCGACATGTTACTCAATTAGCAGGTCTCTAACTGCCATATTTATTATTGGATTAACTAGAAATTCCCCATACATACTAGAAAATGTATGTTCTTTCGTATAGTGAAGATCAAAAGACGTGAAGATATCGTTGCGTGATAATGTTTTCGTTGAATTTACTTCATGATGCATTTCCACACGGCTCAAAATTCACCGCAAAATACCGTTTGCCTGAGACACTTTTACTATGGAACGTGACTGCTTGACTACGATGACTATGCATTTCCATTCTCGCAGAGTTTGGGATATCACTAATCAGCAATCATTCATTTCAGAAAGTGTACAGTCTGTCTTAAAAGTACCGCGCAAAGTGGCGGTGGATCCATCAAGCCTGACGGAGAAAGGGTCTGCTTTAATTTGAAAGTCACCGACCATTTGACCTAGGGAATGGACGAGGATGTCAATTGCTTCGGTGACCCAAATTTAGCAGGCCCTTCCTCAGTCAGGCTCGATGGATCCACCGTCACTTTGCGCGGTACTTTTAAGACAGACTGTACACAAGCAAGCATGTCTTGACTCTGTCTTTCAAGGTCACGCGCGGTTGCGTGATGTTGATGCATGAAAACGGCGTTTGCCGCGAAAGTTATGAATGGCCCACTCCAATTTTTTCACAGATGGTTGGGAACATTGTGACGGACATAATATGTAAAAATTACCCAAATCGAAGGTGACGTGTTTTTTGCTATTTAAATTTTTCTGTTTTAATTCAAGGTCAAATGCATTTCAAGGTCACTTTAATTTAATTTTATAATTAAAAATCAAAGCCTTATCAATTGCCTATAAGACCCTGTTAATATCATTTTGATACCAGAAAAGGAACCAGAGTTATAGCCATTTAAAAAATTGATGTGTGGCATTTTTCGCTATATTCGATGACCTATATCTCAGCGATACGTTATCAAATTTCGAAAATATTATACGTAACTCAGTTTTGAACCATGCCCAGTCTGCCTACAAATTTTCAGAAAAATCGAAGGGGATGACGGATTTCGGTGTTTGATTTGACGTGGAATGCCCCATCTGTGACCTGAGGTCAGGCCAGACTCGTGACCTTTACATTGCAAGCCTATGGGAAAATATTGAAACGCCTCCTGCTTCGTGTAAACGAGTCAAAACCACCCAATTCTTTCAGTATTATGGAAGATTATCTCATCGGTGATGATCCTGGTGCCGCTAATTGACAGGGGCACCGGCAAAGGTCATCTGAGGTCATGTGACGTCATAAATCGTTTTTCTGTCAATAAATCACGACATGATGGTGCTAAAGACTTGTAAGTGGTACCAAACTGCTCGCCTGGTCAAGGCGCGTCGTTTGGTATGCAGCATGACCATACCCCACAACCTCATTGATGACCTGACCTTGACCTCAGGTCAAATTTCAAATTGACCTGTGAAGGTCATCACATACTTATTTCGCATCGCCTCGGCGAGAGCAACAAAAAATTTATTGGTTTTATGTCACTATGTTTCTTAGTTTAAAGGGACCCTCCCACCTTCAAAAAAGTTAATGAATTGGCATGAAAGTGATGTCGCTCGGTTCAGAAAGAGTGAAAACGAATATCCACCAAATTTCATCGAAAAATATTCACCGGTTTTCAAGATATTAGACTTTTACTTTTGTTTACTTTTTGGGATCTCTGCTGTTCCTAGCGACTTTATTTGAAAGTGCGGCATTTGTTGCGCGCAAAGCAGCATATACCACCGCGTGCTACCAAACGTTTTAGTAAAAGATTGAAAAAATCGTTAGATCTCCGCTGGCGTCACAGATTCTAAGGGGGCATACCAATGCACTAGCCCCTTAGAATCCGAAAACTGCAAGTTTGAAATTCCATATCTCCGAACTAAAGCATTTTTCGATGTTATGAGTGCCCAAACCGGTATTTTCAGGCCATGGCCACCAATTTGGCTATCTCAACTCAAAACTAATGTTAAGGTGGGAGGGTCCCTTTAAAAGTTATATAGGTAACTAATTCCAAAACATGTTATCGTTGATGACCTCTGGTGACCTCAATATTGACCTGACCTGAAAATGTTTTTTGTAAAATTTGTAGATCTTTAAACGACCTATCAAACGCCGTTTGCCGTTTGTCGCTGCGATGTGTAGTTTTTTAGATCTGAAGGGGGGCCGAATCGCCCCCCCCCCCCCCCGCCAGTTTCTTGTCCCGGCGGACCCCGCCAGGAATAGGGTTAAGCCAGTGAGGTGGGCGGACTGTGTCGGACTTTGAAATTACGCTTAATTTCGGCATTCGAATTAGGTATCTAGATTCGAAGTGCGCTACCTACCAGCTTTACCTGGCCTGGGCTCCAGCTCTGTCAATCCATCCGCTCAAACATTCGAACGAAAAGGAGAAAAATAACGTCGGGGGTTGGCACCACCGAGCCATTTTTTTTTTTCGTTACTCGAAAATAAGTGGTGTGGAGAGAAGGATGAGGCTAACTCGCGCCCTGGGGGTTAAGCAAACTAACTTAGTCATGGTGGTGTGGGTAGGTTATTTGGCACCCGAATTTCTCGAAAACTTGGAAAAGTAGAAAGATGCGGGAAAAGTGATATATAGTTCTTTATATGGTCTTTCAGAACCTTGGTCACGACCTTGAGGTCATTTATAACGTGGGGTCATTTTTACACGTGATCGTGATACAAAATTGATGCATAATAGCCTATATCAAGTTTCGCGGAGCTGCACCCCACGATTTTCTTTACACACGGAAAAAAATCTGGAGATTGTTTCCAAAAAGGCCCTCCCGTAACAGGGCGATGGCTCACATCGTTACGATGGCTCTCTCCTCAGTTGCAGGTACACAAGGAATGCGCGGCGTACAACTGTGTCTTCAATTCGCTGACCAGGGAGAGGAAGGAGGACGTTCCGGTACATGCGTGAGTTCGACGGCAAAAGGCGGGCCACCGGCAACCCTGTCACCCCGGAGGGGAACGGTATTAGTGGAGCTATCATGTTTCCCGGTTGCTTGGGTGGGGTGACTGACAAGTGACAACCCCGACCAGAACAAAAAAAGTGTGGTAATGGCCAATCAGGATAATCAAAATTTGTTTTTGAAGCTGGTTTATCTTTTAAGTTCTAGTTTTTGACGTTTCTCGATGATTAAAACACAATGATTGTACTAGAAAATCGCCGTCGTACAAACTTGGTATCAAAAGTAAGTACATGACAACTGTTTGCTCTATCTATAAGTCTATTTTGACTGCCTTTGCCCTCTAGTGACCAAACCACCTTACATCAGACCTTTGATACACCAACGGAGGTTTTTTGAGTGCTATCTAATGCACTTTTCTTTTACGACGCAGCACTGTTACTCTTACTCAGCACTGTTTTACTAAAGGGACTATCCCACCTTTAACATGGGGTTTGAGTTGAGATAGCCAAGTTTGCGGCGAGGTTCAGAAACCACTATCTATCTAGGTTGCAACCCCCGCGGCCTCTTGGTGTTGAAGAAATTCGTTCCCTTCATTTGAAAATGGGCCTTGTACAAGGCTCTATCTTCAACATGGAGCGACCGTTTCGTTTAGTCATTCTGATTTAAATGGGTTTGTTCGTTGAAAAATCGCTTAAAACTTGGTCTGAACTTTGTTGTGGTGCCTACAGAGTAAAAAGAATCAGCTTTATGACAGTAATGTGACCTGGGGAAGGAGGTAATTTTGAGCTGTGACGTCACATATTTGAAGGTTTGTGTTTGGAATATGGGAAGTCTAAGATGTTTAATGAAAAATAAACGCCAGAACCGTGTTCCTGGTCATCCAATCTATAAAGTCGGGCACAATTTAACTGGTTTTAACAACATTTTAGAAGGTGGGATAGTCCCTTTAAGTCAGGGCCTATTTTAACATGTTAACTGGGGGGGGGGGGGCAAATGCCCCCGCACTCAACAGAATTGCCCCCCCCCCCCCCAGTCGTCGAGATTTGCCCACTATAAAAATGGGCATAAATGAACAGGGTGACAAACATACTACTGTGACTTGTTTTGCAATGGATGTCAAATGAGTCAGTCTGCAAGTAATGACCAGTGGTGGATCCAAGGGTGGGTCATATGGGTCATGACCCCCGCCCCCCCCCCTTGGGGCCCGGGGACACCACAGGCCTGCCAGGGGCACCACCGGCCTGTCAGGGGCATCACAGGCCTGTTCGGAGCACCATCGACCTAGCAAGAGCACCATAGGTCTGCCAGGGGCACCACAGACCTGCCAGGGACACCACAGACCTGCCAGGGGCACCACAGACCTGCCAGGGGCCCCACCGACCTCGCAGGGGCACCTTGGGCCTGTCAGGGTCACCACGGGCCTGTCGGGGTCACCACAAGTTTGTCAGGGGCACCACAGGCCTATCAGGAGCACCATCGGCCTAGCAAGACAGAGCCTATTTTAAGGGAATTTGACTAGGGGGGCAACCTGGAAAATTGTCTTTAATAATCCATTAACCCTCGCCCGTATTGGTGTTTTCCAGCTGCGAACGTATATGGGGGGGGGGGGGTCCGTTGGACCCTCCCCCTTGCCGTTTCGCCCCTGATCGAGCTAGAGCTTCGCGGAAAAACGACCGTGTTGCCCGTGATGAAAGGAAGCCGATGATACCCAATTTTAAGGTCCTAGGTCTTCGGTTGACCTTCCAGATCAGGTCAATGACCCAAAAGTCGGGAAAATCGGGACCTGTTAGAGCGTCGTAAAGGGTGGCTGCTATGTTTTTTTTTTTCGGGATGCTGATCACGAATATCATGTTAGTTATGACCGTAGATGATGTTTTCATGCATTTAGGCCAGGTCGGGTCAGGTCAGGTCAGGTCAACCAGTAAGGTTTTGCCGGGTATTCGTAGTTGGTGGCAACCGCCTCTGACAGCTTCGTAACATGCTACGAAGGCACCAAAACTTCTTCGTAAACGGTCAAATGGTTGCTAAATTCGAATTCAGCTCCAAAAACTAGCCTAGAATCATAAAACTCGAAAATGTGAACCGAGGTCACCAAAGGTAAATGACCTGACCCGAGGGCTGTTCACGGGCCCTGTGTGCGGTCGGACCGCACACAGCCTCCAAGCTCCGCCCACTGCGTCCCTACGTCAGCCTTCCGTCACCGCACACAGCGATCGCTGTGGCCGGTCGGGACTGGCCACAGCGGACCGTCCACCGCACGCAGCCGTGACGTCAGAGCCGCCTACCCATCCCCTACCCCCACGCCTGCTGGACGCTCCGCACACACCGCACGCAGCAGTGTGCGGTGCCTGTGAACACCCCTCTGACCTTCCGGTGACTTTGACACCCACCCTAATGCATGGGAGCAACATCATTACGGAGCGAGCGAAGCGAGCGTAGTCTTAAGTTTTTAAAGGGTTTGCTGAAACGTTAGTACGAAGTAACTGGACGGGCAGGCTCGCCTGCCCGTCCAGTTACTTCGTACGAGCGTAGTCTTTCCTTAGATTAACGGAAATTTCTGAGTATGAGCGGCCGGCCGGCCGGCCGGCCGGCCGTGCGGACGCTTTTGCGAGGCTTATATCTCAACAACCACTTGACCGATTTACACGCGGTAATTTTTGTAGGGTAGCTTCATTCCTTCTACCAAGTATTGGACTATTCCCGATGCATGTGGGTGACCCCTTATGCACGTGCCACGTGCAAAACGAAGAGGTGTCAGTTTTGTAATTGTTGCAATATCTCGGTAACTACTTGGCCGATTGCGCTGAAAGTTGGCATGTAGGTAGGCACCCACTAGGCACTGCATATCCATGTGCCAGAGTTGGGGTGCTGCTGCACGTGCGCACGTGCAGGGGTCGTTTCCAGATCTCGAGAACGGCTGGACCGATGGCGCTCAAATTTGGTACACGGTTAGGGACCAGTTAGTAGGGTGCCGTGCACAAGTCAGTTGGGACCCATTTTGCACGTGCGCACGTGCAGGGTGCCGCTTTCAGATCTCGAGAACGGCTAGGCCGATTGTGCTCAAATTTGGCACATCGCTAGAGACCGGTTAGTAGAGTGCCGTGCACAAGTCAGTTGGAGGTACCCCCTCGAAATTTCGCACGTGCAAGGCCCACCCTCTCGCTCGCTCCGTTAGTCGCCCCAAAAGGCGTTATACTGGTATCCCATGTTTGAACGTTTGAAACCACGAAAAGACTGCAAACGCGCGGCTAATGCGAGGCGACATACGCCGAATCGCGATCCCGGCCAAACATGGTGTCATGGTGCTAGGCCGCCGGTGCATCTGAAAGAACTGTGGTGCCCCTGACAAGCCTGAAGTTCCAACGACAACTTCAGGCCCTGACAGGCCCATGATGCCCTTGCGAGGCCGGTGGTGTCCCTGCTAGGCCGGTGGTGTCTGCTAGGCCGCTGGTGTCCCTGGGCCCTGACAGGACTGTGGTGCTCCTGACAAGCCTGGAGTGTCCCCGACAGGCACGTGGTGCCACTAACAGGCCCAAGGTGTCCCTGTGAGGCCGGTGGTGCCCCTGCCAGGCATGTGGTGTCCCTGCTAGGCCTCTGGTGCCCCTGACAGGCCTGTGGTGCCCCTGAAAGGACTAACATGATGTTCGTGATCAGCACCCGAAAAAAAGCCATAGCAGCCACCCTTTACGACGCTCTAACAGGTCCCGATTTTCCCGACTTTTGGGTCATTGACCTGATCTGGAAGGTCAACCGATGACTTAGGACCTTAAAATTGGGTATCATCGGCTTCCTTTCATCATGAGCAACACGGTCGTTTTTTTTCCGCGAAGCTCTAGCTCGATCAGGGGTGAAACGGCAAGGGGGGAGGGTCCAACGGACCCCCCCCCCCATATACGTTCGCAGCTGGAAAACACCAATACGGGCGAGGGTTAATGGATTATTAAAGACAATTTTCCAGGTTGCCCCCCAGTCAAATTCCCCTAAAATAGGCTCTGCTTTAAGTTATAACGAATTATGTACCGATCTATCCAAAAATGATTGATGCGACAGTTTGACCTTTGATGACTCCCAGTGACTTTGCTATTGACCTGATCGATTACACTTTTTTATTACTTTTTAAATTCATCTGTAGAAAACTCTCAGTCTCTCTTCGCCTTTCTAATTCTTTTACTTTTCGAGGCAATGGTGTGTGGCCAACCCCCCCCCCCCCCCGTCATGGCGAAGTAGGCTGAAACCAACTGGGCGCGGGTTAAAAGGGGAAGGTTCATGCTTGGCTAGTTTTTTGATAGCTGTATCAGTACATTTCCTTTACGTGTCACGATGCGCTATTTTTAGCTTACCTAAACAAATATAATGAAAGCGCTTTCCTCGCCAGACGAATGGATATTTTACATTAATATTTGTGTTGCTCTTGCTTGCCCCTTCAATAAATCAATAAATCAGAGAAAGATTGCATGCTGTCACGAATGGGTTGCCACAAGTCCCAAGGTTTTGTGAAACCTTAACCCTAGCCGCCACAGGCCATTTTGCGTCCTTCGACGGCATAAGGGGGGGGGGGGTACGACCCCCCCCCCCCCTCCCTCGCGTTTGGCCCCTGATCGAGCTAGAGCTTCGCGGAAAAAAAAACGAGCGTGTTGCCCGTCACGAGAGGAAGCCGATGATACCCAATTTTAAGGTCCTAGGTCATCGGGTGACCTTCCAGGCTAGGTCAATGACCCGAAAACCGGGAAAATCGGGACCTGTTAGAAAGTCGTAAAGTGTAGCTAGCTCCTATGTGGTTTTCTGGGGTGCTGATCACGAATATCGTGTTAGTTTTGATCAGAGATGATGTCTTTAAGCATTTAGACCAGTTCGGGTGAGGTCAGGTCAGGTCAACCGGTAGGGGTTGTGACGGGTATTCGTAATACGTGTCAACCGCCTCTGACAGCTTCGTAACATAAGGCACCAAAACTACTTCGTAAATGTTAAAATGGTTGCTAAATTCGAATTCAGCTCCAAAACCTAGCCTAGAAACATGTAAAACTCGAAAAAGTGAACCGAGGTCACCAAAGGTCAATGACCTCACCTGACCTTCAGGTGACCTTGACACCCACCCTAATGTATGGGAGCAACATCAACTCACATGTTTGAACGTTTGAAACCACCAAAAGCTTGCAAACGCGCGGCTAATGGGAGCCGACATACGCCGAATCGCGATTCCGGCCAAACATGGTCTCGGAAAAGAGGTCACAGGTCAAAGGTCATTTGAGTCAGGGACGGTCATGAAATTTTCAGAGAGGTGTAAAATTGATCAATGCGAGGGTACTGAAAGTTTCGTCGCGCTCGGCCGCTTTTTACGCGAGTTATTCGCGAAAAACCTTAGGGGGGGTTGCATCAACCCCCCCCCCCCCTGTGCCGGCGAGGGTTAAGACTGTGTTTGGACATGTCCGGAAATACACTTACAAGTTACAATGCGTCTTCATTTTGTCACTTCTGACTATGCATTCTTGACGCATGCATGTGATTCTGTTGTATGGCAGCATACAATTATTACATTAGGTATAAGCTGTTATGTTACTTATCTCGAAATTACATTTGTCCTTTTTTGGTTTGACGATCGATATTTATTTCTGATTTCAGATGATGTAAACGGAAGCGGCAACTTTTAATGACCTGAAACTTTGAAAAAGGATTCGTTAAGTCAAAATGGGTGTAAAATGTTGCGCAGTCAATTGTTCAACCTCTGCGAGGAGTAGTGTTTATAAGAATGGCACCGCTAGAATGCATAGGTAAGTCCAGCATTACAAATTTAAAACAACTGCCTGGTTGCTCACTTTTATAATCCGCGCTTCACTTGGACTGAGCCTGCGGTGAAATGCCATAGACTGAGGTCTGAGAATGGACGTCCCCCCACGCCCCCCCCCCCCGAGATTACTTCTAAAACAAGCGAGGAACGCAAAGCGGCGTTGAGATGAGATAGTGCGCACCGAGAAACATCTAAGATATGTTGATAACTTTTTTAGATGACGTTTTAGAGGTTTTAGAACTTCATCACCTTGATGCTTACTTGAAACACCTACTTGCGCCGAGTTGTCGAAGATTGTCGAAATAGGCGAAAGTTTACCTTCGATTATCTCCGACGACCTGACCACAGACCTGACCTACAATGACCGAGACAACCTTCATTATTTTTTACACTCTTGACCACTTGTCGTAACGACGTGGCCCAGAAGCCGAGTTAGAAGGGGAGTGGTCAACGAAGCAGGGCGAGGCAATCCAGGAGCCCCAGAGGGACGTGCATTAGAAATATAAAGATTGGATTTGGTGATCAAATTTTGAGAGATAATGTTGAAATAGGTGAACAATTTATAGCTGCCTCGCTTAAATTCCCGTGTTTTATCCAATTGCAAAACAATTTTATACAGGGAATCGTGAACAACACGGGAATCTCATATTGCAAAAATGGTCATAGCTAAAGCAACTCAACGAAAGCAGACTAAAATTCGCAGATGTTATAATACATATATGGATATACATAATTTTTATACCACATTGTGACCGGAGGTAATCGTCTGTACCGATTTTTTATCGCGCCTGACCAATGATAGTGACACTGGCGACCCTGAAATCGTTTGAAGATTCTGTTGCACGGGCCAGTTGCACACAATGCGTGCGCATGCACATGCATTGTTTTTCCTTATTCATAAGACCAGGTAAATGTTCCTAGTCAAACGTAGTCAGCTTGCTCAGCTTTACCCAAACAGACAGTTTTCTAAAGAAAATTGACACTCATGATTAAATGATTTGGAATTTTCCACCAACGGCTTCCCGTTGTAGTCCCAAATCGACGATCACGTGCTGTCTGCTACTTTATTTGTTTCTGAATGACTGTTTTTCATGGGCGCAAAATTACCTCGCAGTCGGCGCGCCCCTAACCCCCAACAAACAAACAATGACTGTTTTTCATCGCGCTAAACGTTTTTCAGGTTCCCGAGGGATCCCACGCGGAGGCGCCAGTGGGCGATCGCCGTCCGAAGGAAAGCTGACGATGGCGGCCTCTGGGTGCCTCAGTATGAGGCGACCATCTGCAGTCTGCACTTCCCCGAGAAGGACATGGACCGCACAGGTCAAACGGTCCGACTCAGAGAGGGTGTCGTCCCGACACTCTTCAACTACGCCGACCCGCCGCAGAAACAGCACCCCAGGGTGGGTGCATCTCAGCTGTTTTTAATGCAATATATTCTGCTGACCGTGACTTTTGCATATTTCATCTCAGGTCACGAATGGTATCTGACAGTTTTTCGCGAATAACTTTTGCTAGAGTGGTGACAACGTCTTAGATGTGTTTAGATCGACAATACGGATCGACTGATATGCAACATGACTGTTTCCGGTCAGGTCATGACCTTAACCTGAGGTCAAGTTTTCAAGTTGACCTTTCAAGATTAGATTATAGTTCATTTGATGCGCCTTGACGAGAGCAAGTAGCAATACGATGCCGGAAAAGTAAGCTCGTGCAAGATTCGAGTCATAAGTTATTGCAGAAAAACTATTTCCGCAAAAATAGTCCATTTTGGCAGTGTTTGCCCCCTGCAGGCAAAACCCAAGATTCTTACAGAGGCAAAACTGTTGGTTGACGTTAGGTCAAATCTGAGAGGAATACTCAAAAAGAGCATTAACCTTCCAGGCGGTGGGGGGTGGCATTTTTTGCCCCCCCCCCCCTTAGTTTTTTCGATATATCTCCAGAACCGCTGCGCCGATCGTCACCAAACTTTCGGTACCCCCCCCCCCCCCCGTGAATAGCTATTGCACATTGTGACCCAAAAAAAAAATCCAATGGCTATGATAGGTTGGCCGCTAATGACTTTAGAGTGGCGTCATTTCTGCCATTTTCGGCCCCAAAAAAGGTTTCGCGGGAAGAGATGTCAGGCCTACAGCTTTAGAGATACAGAAAAAATGTTTCAGACATAAAAGGTGCAGAATTAAAAGAGCTACAAACCTGCTTTCTCCCTGGATTATGGTTTGAAAAATGGTAAGCTGTCTGTAACACAAAGAGAAGGAATTATAACCCTAGTTCCTAAGCCCGGAAAACCTAGAAATTTGATATCCGGCTGGAGGCCTATCACGCTTTTAAATTCAACATATAAAATTTTGTCTGGAACTTTCGCCAATAGAATGAAAAAGGTTTTAGATTCCATCATTCACACAGACCAAACAGCGTTTTTGAAAAACAGGTTTATTGGCGAAAATATCCGTGTTACTTACGATGTGTTGATGGAAACGTACAGCAAAAACCTGAACGGCTTATTATTATCAATAGATTTCAAGACAGCATTTGATGTAATGAGCTGGAGTTTCTTGGAATGTTGTCTGAAGAAGTTTAACTTTGGACCAAATTTCATTAACACATTTTGGTGTTTGCACGCACACACATTTTCACGGATCATTTATAACGGACAACTGTCAAAGCAACCAATAAACATAGAGAGAGGCTGTAGACAAGGTGACCCGATATCTTGTTACTTCTTTATTATTGGAGCAGAGATCCTGGCAAATAAAATCAGAAGCAACCACCGTTACAAAGGAATAAAAATAGGACAGACTGAGGTTAAGCTGACACAATATGCAGATGACACAACATTTTTCCTTGATGGCACGGAAGAAAGCATCAGAGCCGTATTCGGTGAACTTGGATGGTTTGCCAAGTTCTCAGGATTGAAACCTAACGTTTCAAAATGCAACGCAATGTGGATAGGACACAAGGCCTATACACACGAGACATTATGCCCTGATATACCTGTGAACTGGGTCCGTAAACTTAAGCTTCTTGGTATTGTATTTAACCCTCATTGTGAGAATATAGTCGATGAAAATGTATCCCTAAAAAAAGATGCAATCTTGAGAACAATCGGAGTATGGAAAAATCGAAATCTTACGTTAGTCGGAAGAATCACCATTGCCAAAACATTGTTATTGTCTCAAATGACACACCTTTTATCATCATTACCTGATCCCAGTGAAAAAATTGTGAAGGAGATTAACAAAATAATATTCACATTCGTTTGGGGCTCAAAAAGAAACCCACTTAAAAGGCTAAGACTATGTCAGCCTCTTTCTGCCAATGGTTTAGGAATGATAGATCTCTCATCGTACATCAGATCTCTTAAAATAAAGTGGATAAAAAGACTGATAACAGGCAAACAGAGTGCCTGGCAGTCACTTATTCCAGTAAAGATGCAAAACGAATTCATATGGAATTATGGTGTAAAAGCTTTGAAACAGGTTTTGAAAGAAATAAAGAATCCCTTCTGGAAAGATGTGGTCGTAGCCTGGTTGCATTTCTCTAGTGTCTTTATAATACCGGATGAACAAATATGTGATGAAAATGTATTCAATTCAGACTTCACCAAATTTCAGAGCTCGCGACTGCGAAGTTGGGAAAGTAGAGGAATACGCGTAATTGGAGACCTATTCAACGGTAACGAGCTACTGACATGGCAAAACTTCAGAGCGACTTATAATATCCCATGCAATTACTTGGATTATTACGGTTTAGTGCGCAGCTTACCTAGAGTATACCAACAGAACCAACCAGATAACTGGCGTCAAAATCAACCGTCAATATCTGCCCGGATATACTATCTTTTAAATAATAGAACATTTACAAAAACATTGGCACTTGGGCTAATAAAAACAACCGCTCATGGGATGCAAAGCGATATAGCAAGGATCACGAGGAAGTGGAATCGGGACATTGGCTGCTTTGAACAGCAATCTCTGCTCACTGTCAAAGGTAGTGTGCGTGCAACACGTTATATCTCCTTTCATTATAAGCTCATAATGCGAATTTTAACAACAAACTCCTTTTTACACATGATACACATTAGAGAAAATGGCTTATGTACTTTCTGTGGTGTAAACCAAGAGTCTCTACTACACTTATTCCTACAGTGTCAACACGTTCAAGCTTTTTGGTTGGAGATATCGCAATATCTTTCGAGAAATGGAGTTGGTCAGTTAAACGATAAAGTGAAGATATATGGGGACGATACAAGTTTGCTGAAAACGCATATAGTGACACTGGCAAAATACGTGATTTATGATGCCAGATATAAAGAAGTTCGCCCATCCTTTCACCAGTTTAGGCTATCCCTAAAACGGGATTTTGAATCTGAGAACTTTATCGCTGCCAAGCAAAACGACTTTGAAAGTTTCAACAAAAAGTGGAACTTAGTCCTGGTCGATTTAAAAGACCGGAGCTTTCAGGGCCGCGTGCATGCCAGCAACCCTGGCGGCCGAGCGCCGTAACTTTGATCGCTTTTTTGGAATGCTGCATAAACTGATCATCAGCCACCGCTCCCATGACCCATCCGGGCCAACCCGGGACCGGCCTCTTTGACTGGGGCCGGTCGGCCGGCCGGGCGTGCGGGGCGCCGGCCCTACAAGTCGACGGCTCGCACGCCCGGCCGGTGGATAGGGGGCGCCGCCCGCGATACGTCTTCGCAGGGCGGCGCGGGCGGTGGCTGATGGCCCGCCTGGAGCGCCGGGGAGGTAACCCGCAGCTCTCCCCGGCTGGGGAAGCATCCCCCAGCTCTCCCCAGGGCCGTGGACGGCATCGTCCCGGCCTGGCCAGGCGGGCCACACCACAAACGAGCAAGTTTTTTTTTATAATTTGTTTCCTTTTCCTAGCTTTCACTTCCTCCCCTTTCCTTGAGCGATGTGATGGGGGAGACACGCGGGCGGCGGGGCCGTGGCGGGCGGGTGGTGCCCTCTATCATTGCTGCACAACTCCGCACAAGTACAACGTAGTATAACTTAAACGTAACATTTATTATGGCTTCAGCTGTCTCGGCGCTTTCAACCCGATCGTCAACTGTTTGCCGGCGGTGTCCTTGCCAGAAGCTGCTCCCGGCAGTCTGACTCTGCCCGCCGCCCCGGGCTGCGCTGCCGTCGACGATGAGCTGGCATCATATAAACGTGCATCCTGTTTACCCGTACTATTATTAGATTTTTGTGCTGTTTAATGTTTTCTTTAAGTTAAAGTTGGCTTTCTTATTGCCGCCAATGCGTGGCGCCATCTGGACCCATGCTGGAGACGAGCGGCGCCACCTGCCGCCACTCCACTGCTCATTACTTGTGGCGCTGCCTGACTGACGATGTGTGTTGTTTGTTTCTTTCCTAGTGTGTCGTTTATTTGTTTTGAATCGTAAAGATGTGAAATAAATAGATATAAAAAAAAACCTGCTTTCTCGGATATTTGAAATTTTTGGATTTTGACCACCAAAAATAAGAATTTTTTTCTATGCCGCCACCCATTATCAGGTGACCAGGAGTGCCCCCTCCCTCTATCCCAGCGACACACAGAACCTTACGTTAACACCATAATAACTTAAAATTGCAAGTCGCGGCACTCCCAGCTAGGAAATGAAATGTAACATAAAAAAGCAGAAGGGAGAAAGCCATGCGAATTAGGGGAACAAAAAAGAAGCAAAGTAGTCAACACTGGCAATCAGTGGTGACTGCCCACTACTGCAAGCCCCCAATTAATCAGCACACTCACACATTCATTACATTCATAACATTCATACACGTTGGGGAAAGTGTCAAAGTCCACTGGGGCAGGTTAGTTAGAGGGGGATTCACAGTCATAGCCAAGTCATCATCAAACTCTGGTCAAATTCAGCGTATGTCAGCAGCAAGGTAGCCCGGGCTCCCAGAGCACCCAAAGAAGCGAGGCTTGTTGTCGGGCGCTCCAAGGTCCCAGGCCGCCAAACAGATGGGGTGGCATATTACAGTATCATGCACACATCACACTTACACACTCATTTACACAAATAAATGATATCATGCAAACCCAGCCAATGTAGGTATGCGCCCTAGTTTAGGCACATATTCTTACACACTTGTGTGTACTCAATTCAAACATGATAAAATGCCATGATGCACACCCAACAGTGTAGGTGTGCAACAAAGTCCATTCTCATTCTCTTACACACTTGTGTGTACTTAGTTCAACATAATTAAATGCCAAAATGCACAAGTGTAGGCATGAACAGAAGGTCATACACTTACTCATTACACACTTGTGTGTTGTGACCTGACCTGCGACCTAACCTGGTATTATCAGTGACCTCTAATAGCATCAAATGTACTAGGCAACTGACGCCCTATCGCTGATTTTCGACAAAATGCGTTTTACTCGGTGTTATAGTGCATTCCCTAGAAGACCCGTGAACGGTGAAACATTTTATCTTTGACCTGACCTGTGACGTCATTGGTGACCTCGAGGTCAATGAAATTTGGTTTCCTTCGACAAATTTGACGGCTATCGAACGCCGTTTGAATTTTACGGATCCGTCCAGTAGTTTCGGAGATACGAGGGGGGGGGGCAAAGAAATGCCCCCCTCCCCTTCCCACCGCGCGGAAGGTGGCCGGGAGGCCCACCACCTGCCGGGTTAATAGGGCTGTCAATTGCGCTTTTCCGGGCGTGTAGCTCTGTTAGTTTCCGAGATTTGCGTCGTTTTTTTTTTTTGAAAATTGTCTACATTCGAACTGAAAATCGGCGAAATTTTGCCTTTCATGACATCTGGTGACCTGATCTTTGACCTGACCAAAAAGCGACCGCTGTAGTTTCGTCATTATTTTTGACGCTCTTTCGAACGGTCGCTTCCGCCTATCGCTACGTGGCCTAGGAGCCGAGTTAGAAGGGAAGTGTTCAGACACCTCCCCCCCCCCCCGCAGCAGGACGTGGAAATCCGTGGCCCCCAGCGGGTCGCGGGTTAAATCCCTCAGTCAACTGTCCCGTGATTTCATCATATTAAAGTTTGTTTTATTTGCGCTTTTCAGGCTGCCAAAAAGCGGCTGCTGACACTGAAGGAACTCAACGCTATTCTGGATCAGCAGCGGCACGTGGGTGGAGACGAACCCGTGACAGCAGCTCCCCGAGCAGGAGCGCCACTGCCACCGCCGTCGGATGAACAGCAGCACGTTGATGGAGACGAAGCAGCGACAGCACCTTCCCCAGCGGGAGCGTCACCGCCACCGTCGCCGTCGCCGATGTCGACTCGGTCCTCCCCTGGCTCGACGCGACGGAAATCTCTCCGCCTCCGCAAACTGTCAGCCAAGTACAGTCTACTGACACAGTCGCTGCAGAAATATGGGTTTAGAAGGGCTTCGTATAGTGCTCTCGTCAAGCGTTGCGTGGCAAGCACGGCACAGCGAGGTCAGAGATCCAGCGATTCGCAGCAGAAGTCGTCGGCCGCCGACGATCCGAGAGCTCCAGGCAGTGTGTCGTCGACCGAGCTGCCCCCGCCGTTGACCGCCCCAGAGCCGCTGGATCTGCCGTACGGAGAGCTGACACGCCATCTGTCCTCCGTGAAAACCAAACGGCATCGGCTGCTACAGCTGCGGAAGACGTATTCCGGTTTGGTGGACAAAATCGAGTACCGGAAATCCAACCCCCACTGGTGGTCAGCGAAGGCGGACGAACGATTGCCGAAGCCACCGCTAATGACGATTCGCCACGAGCCGACGAACCGCGCGCCGCTACCTGAACCGATGCCTCCTATTAGTCGTGGAACGGTGCTGCCCCTGTCTCCGACTGAGGCGTGGAAAACGATATCCGCCCTGCGGGAGCAGGTGCTGGATCTCCAGCTGCAGCTGATGAACAGCCGAATTCAGGTGCTAGACGGCGAGGTGCAGCTGCAAGACACCATAGCTGGTCATTACCGCTACAAGTCTGAGGTGAGAGAAGAGCAGAAACATACTCAGAAAGCTCAGAAGGCAGTCGTTCGTGAGGTCAAGAAGCGTTGTGACTTGCCGTGCCTAGTTTGTCCTGAGCTAAAACAAAAGTTGGAGATCCTTCAGAGGGATTCAGACAAGAAAGTGCGCCGTGCTGAAAAGTTGGGGAAGCGACTGGAGAAGATCTTCACGCCTAGGCAGATGCGTGTTCTTCGCACCGGCAAAAAGCCACGATGGCTCGAAGAAGACTTCCGGCGCGCAATCGAACTAAAAACGGTCGTCAGCCATCGCGGCTACACCTACATCCGACAGACGATGCGCATTCCGCTGCCGACCACGTTCATCCTCAGTCGAGGCGTCGAGCGCTACAAGTCGCTGCAACCACTCTACGACAAGATGGTGATCAAAAACAAAAAGAAGGTCTGGAAGAAGGGTGAAAAGAGCGGCACTGCCCTGTCAGCACAGAAGAGGAAGCTGACTGACGCCTCGCTGGTGACGGGGTCCGAGCCGCCGAGTGGCGAACGGCCGGTCAAGCGGCGGAAAAAGCGACCGCCTGCGAAGCCGCCTCAGAACGGGCAGCAACAGCTCGCTCTCCCGGCGGTGAGCGCGTCGCATGCTGTGTCGGTGGCCGGCGGGTGCTCATCGGTGCCGTTGTATCAGCAGAGGCGCGTCGGTGCCGGAAACGGGAGCGTGCGTGTATTGAGCTCCGCGCGCGCCAGTGAGTGGGAAATGGACGATGAACTGGACGATGAAACGCTCGAACTACTTACCCGACCACGGAGGTGGTATGCCTCGCGTACGTGATCGTTGGGCGCGTGGTGCTTACGAGCGGACGTGCCACTAGTGGTGCGACGTGCCGCAGCTGTGACAGAAGTCAGTATGTGCCTGTCGGCTTGTCTGTTGATGCGCGTTTCGTTCCAATGCAGCCGAAATATCAAGCTCACGTTAGGGCGTGATTAAGCTGATACTAGCTGATTAGTTAAGGTTATTGAGTTCAAAGGCGGGGAATGCCACGCGATGTTTGCAGTAGGTATCATAGTTTCCTGGTCATGAAATACATTGTCATTTTGCTGTCGCCCGTCGGTGATATTTAATATGTTGCATGTGTTAAGACTCGGCGCTCGCGTTCCAGAGTGACTTCAGTCAGGTTACCAATACAGGTCACGTCATTCGCGGGCAGTATGGCGCCGGTCCGGTGGCACCGTGACTGGTCGACATTCACAGCGGGACAGTGATGCAACGGCACGATACATGCCTCGGGAGGCAGGCCGACACGAGTGAATATGAACGGGGTGAGGAGCACTTTGCTACTTTTTGTGGTTTTGTGGCTATAGAGTAGGTAAGTTACCAGGTACAGTTGCATACCATGCCCGGTTTATATACCCTTGCACGGTCCAAACGAATCGCCCTCGTGACTACCAGATTCTTACAAGGCGGCGCATGGCACCTACTTCTGACGGTAAATGGTGACTAAAACAGGCCTAGCAGGCGTTTGCTGAGTGCTGGTGGGCTTATGGGTGATTGGGTGGCCGCCTAAGTCTCCGTCTGGCAGTCGGCAGAGGCTAAGACGTCCTCATTACCGTCACAGATACGGAAATTCCTTACGAGGGAATTAGATACTTCCGTCGATAAGAGCATGCATCCGAATATGCTACGCTATTTGCACCATTACACGCTTTAGAAACATTGATGTCTTACTCAAGCTTCAAAACTCGCTATTGTAAGTTGTAACCAAGATTCTTACAGAAACCAATTCATAACATAAAGTGATAATAATAACTGAAGTTAATTGTAAAAAAAAACAAAGCTTTCGATGCATACAGGCACAGCGAATATGCATATTTATCTCATTGATAGTGGTGAATACCCCCTATCCATCGAAAGCTTTCCCTGTTACAACAAACTTGAGGTATGACCGTCATTTTAAAAACCAGTCATCTCGGTTGAAAATCACATGAGACGACGACGAAGTTACTGGTATGTCATGCATGATGTACATACAAAAACAGCAAGTCGTTTTTCGTAGCTTGATGCAAGATTCTTCAAGAAGTATTTACGTCCTTGCTTCAAGATATCTTGCATAAAGGCTTGATGGCTTGATGTTGATCCTATCTGTAAGAATCTTGGTTGATCCCAAGATTCCTGTAGATAGTCGATCCATGGATTTGATCCCAAGACTCAGATAGTTGACCGTAAAAAACTGCTGCATTTTAGTGAAGAAGCATCAACGATTTATTCTGCGCCACAAATGCCGACAAGGAACGTTTATGTGCGCAGTTCGACATTACGCACATTACGTGTCATTCTTGGTGTCATTAGTGTTTTTATATACCTTGTTACGTGTGTTGGGATAGAGCAAGGGATAGAGCGGTTTGCTGCGTGTTTTTGTTTTTCTTGCAACGTAGTTCAACATCGTTGGTTGTTACGAATCGGCATTAAGTATTAAATTGGTTAACTCTCGCTGGAACCATGGGAAAGGGTTTTAATAACTACATGTGCAAGAAGTTTTTCCACCCTGGCTCCATAGACAATTTGAAGAGAGTATGGATGGCTCAACAGAAAACAGATGCTGAAAAGAAGAAGCAGGAAGAACTTAAGGCACAGTATGATAAAGAGCAGGAATTGTACAACAACAAAGCTCTTCTTGCGAAGGGAGAGAACAAGGAAAAGCTGAGCTTGAACTTCATGTACGAGCCTCCAGCTGGTATGAAAAAGGAACGAGAACGTGAGGACGGGGAACCAGAGTACAAATTCGAGTGGCAGAGAAAGTATAATGGCCCAAGGGAAAGCTATCTCTCGAAAGATGATGACACCATACGTGACCAGCCATTTGGTATCCAGGTGAGAAACGTGAGATGCATCAAGTGCAAGAAGTGGGGTCACATCAACACTGACAAAGAATGTGAACTCTACACAGCTCCATGGGAACTTACCAATCCCACAACTTCAACTGACCCTCTTGAACTGATGCAAGGGATGCGAGATAATGGGCTTGCTCTGAAAGCTGGTGTTGTTGAAGGGACGGAGCAGATCCCTGCCCATCAGCTTGTGGCATCAGATGATGGAGAAAGTGAGGAAGAGACTGAGGAGATGAAGTTTATCAAGTCCCTTTCTCAGAAAGACAAACTCAAACTGCTCAAAAAGCTGTCCAAGCTTCAAAAGAAGAAAAAGAAGAAGCAGAAAAAGAAGTCGAAGTCTAAGAAAAGCTCATCTGATTCAGACTCATCATCTGAAGATGACAACAGCAAGGACAAAGTGAAGAGTGGAAGGAAGAAGCACTCTTCTCGTTATTCTGAGGACAGTCATGATCGGGCTCGCAACAAGCGGAGACACCACTCTGAAGACAGGGACAATGACCATAAAAGAAGCAGGAGGGAGTCCGATAAGGGGGAGGATGGCAAAAGGCATGGTCATAGACGTGAGCATGAGGAAGCATACATAAAACAGGAGGGTGAAAAACACAGAAGAGGTTCTCATAGATCATATGATGATAGTGAAAGGCATCATCACAGAAGGACAGTCAAAAAAGAAAGGGATGAAGAAAAAGGTCACAAACATTCTGAAAGAAGTAGGTCTGACTCTAAAAGAGGATCTCACAAGCAGAGGTGAGCACAGAAAAAAGCAAGATACTCTGAACAATGAATCACTTTGCTGGAGTAAATGGCTTGTAAGGTGGTTTTCAGATAAAATGTGCTGAAATTCAGGTACATTTTTTCAGAAGAATGTGTCACTTTGTCAGCTGAGCAAATGATGTAGTGTTGTTGTTTTGTATCACTTGATGTAATTTTGTGTGAGTTAGGCTCTGGGCAATGTCTTGTTGCATTTCTTCATGTAGGACACTTGCAGCAGCATCACTAAACTGTGAATCAACAGTGGACAGGTTGTGTCATGTGTGTATGGACCTATGAATATGGTGCTGAAAACATTGGTCTGTGTAAGGTGTGCTGAGATTAAGTCAAGACCACCAGTGTAAGAATATAAATGTCAGACCTGTCTCTGGCATTTTTAGTGTAGCTAATGTTTTGTAATAGTACTTGCATTTCCAGTGCTCATTACTCATGCATCTCACATGCATGGTGTAGTATTGTGTTCTACACATGCAAAGTGTTAGTTGTGACTTGTGAATACACTAGGAAGTCAGCCGGATTGTTTTGATAGGTAGATGAAGAGATGAAAAGCGGTCATTCTGAAAATGTGTCTACGGTCATTCCATTTGCGCGTAGAGCATGTCCATCTCGTCCATAGGATGTATTGACACACCAGCGGTAGTGTAACACTCGCATCCCATCAGGGTGGGGCCCGCGCTTCACAGTTCACACTTCACATCAGGTATAAAGGAAGATTATGAATGTTCTCGCTGGTGACTTGAAGCGATGTAAAATGAGTCGGGAGGGCATGGAAGCAGGAAACTAGCTGAGATCTTATGCCCATAGGGCCCTCGACCGCATCCTCGATCGAGAGCAGAGGCGGATCCAGCTCAGTTTTTTTTGGGGGGGGGCAAACCATAACAATTTATCGATTCTTTCCATGCCTCGTCCATAGGCGTAATGTTAAAACTATGCCGTTGGGGGGGGGGGGCAAATGCCCATTTTGCCCCCCCCCCCTGGATCCGCCACTGATCAAGAGCATCATATGTCAGGACAATTATGTCCTCCGGCACGGGCGCCGCACAACTCGTTATAGGAGTACCTAGGCATCCTGAATAGCCAGTAGCAACCTCTTATCTAGGGCGTAACATGAATTATTCCTAATAAATAGCACGAAAGGTAGATGTTTCATTCTAGATAACCTCTTGTTCAAACGATGCAGCTCGTTTTTCTTTCTTGGCAGCATTTTAATGCCTTTACTTACCACAGCCTTGCTTACCACGATGTAGGTTACCATGACAACCGTAACCGGACAAATCTTCGTATGGCAATTCTTCGTCGCGCAATTCCTCGTCCGCATTTCTTCGTCCGCAAATCTTCGTCGGCGCATTTATTCGTGTCGCATAACTTCGTCTCGCATTTCTTCGTAAGCGCAAATATTCGTAGCGCATTTTTTCGTATCCGCATTTCTTCGTACGCGCATTTCTTCGTCAAGCATTTTTTCGTCCACGCATTTCTTCGTCTACGCAAATCTTCGTCCGCATTTCTTCGTCCACGCAAATCTTCGTCTGCGCATATCTTCGTCCGCAAATCTTCGTCCCCGCAAATCTTCGTCCGCAAATCTTCGTCCGCATTTTTTCGTCCGCATTTTTTCGTCCACGCATTTCTTCGTCTACGCAAATCTTCGTCCGCATTTCTTCGTCCACGCAAATCTTCGTCCCGGCAAATCTTCGTCCGCAAATCTTCGTCCGCAAAACTTCGTCCGCAAATCTTCGTCCGCAAATCTTCGTCCGCATTTTTCGTCCACGCATTTCTTCGTCCACGCAAATCTTCGTCCGCAAATCTTTGTCTGCGCATATTTTCGTCCGCAAACCTTTGTCTCCGCTATCTTCGTCTCCGCAAACATTCGTCCACAAATGTGGTTCAATAAAACCATGAAGAAATATCAGACCATCAAGTGATTGACGAATTTAATGCATGGAATGGATGATCGAAACTTTTGAAGTCAGGTAGATGAGGTCTGTCAGCTGTGAAGCTATTGTATTTGGGAGCCGAGAATTGAAACATTCCATATCATTTGTGTCCCGGACATTCTTTTTTCGCGGTCGATGAATGACAATATAATCTCTTGTACCCTCGCCGGCATAGGCGGCGGAATGGGGAGGGCACCGGGGCACCGTTCCCCTCTTTAATTTTGGCCTTTTAACAGTAGCCCTGGGCGTTGCATGGAAAGAATGGGACTAAAAGTCGGTGGTGCCGTGCTCCACCCCCCCCCCTAATTGAAGGTGTTCCGCTGCTACTACTCGCCGGACCTATTTGTTTTCTACATACACGCCGGCCGAGGGGGGGGGGGCGGGTACGACCCCTTCATCGCCGTTTCGCCACTGGTGGAGCTAGCGCGTCGCGGGAAAAAAACGAGCGTGTGCGCCGTTACGAGACGCAGAGGTAAATACCCGATGTTAAGGCCTTCTAGGTCAGGGGTCGGCTTACAGCCCGCGGGCCGGATCCGGCCAGGAGGGTGACGGTTGGATCCGGCCCGCGACCATCTGACGTCCGGCCCGCGCAAGTTTTGTCTAGAAGTAGAATTAGACAAAAACACCCGCAAATGGTGTTTATAAACTCATAAAGTGTGCGAAGGAAGAACTATTGTGCCAAAGCACATTTAAGTCACTTTTATATCGGAGTCGATTTCTGAAGGAACCGCGGGCCGGAACACGATGTAAGTCGATGATACCAGCCGCGGGCCGGACGTCAGATGGTCGCGGGCCGGATCCAACCGTCACCCTCCTGGCCGGATCCGGCCCGCGGGCCGTATCCGACCCCTGACCTATAAGGCCTTAAAATCGGGTATTAATCTCTGCGTCTCGTAACGGCGCACACGCTCGTTTTTTTCCGCTACGCGCTAGCTCCACCAGTGGCGAAACGGCGATGGGGGGGGGGGGGGAGGGTCGTACCCGCCCCCCTCGGCCGGCGTGTATGTGGAAAACAAATAGGTCCGGCGAGCAGTAGCGGCGGAACACCTTCAATTAGGGGGGGGGGGGCACGGCACTGCCGACTTTTAGTCCCATTCTTTCCATGCAACGCCCATAGGGCTACTGTTAAAAGGCCAAAATTAAAGAGGGGAACGGTGCCCCGGTGCCCTCCCCATTCCGCCGCCTATGCCGGCGAGGGTACAAGAGATTATATTGTCATTCATCGACCGCGAAAAAAGAATGTCCGGGACACAAATGATATGGAATGTTTCAATTCTCGGCTCCCAAATACAATAGCTTCACAGCTGACAGACCTCATCTGCCTGACTTCAAAAGTTTCGATCATCCATTCCATGCATTAAATTCGTCAATCACTTGATGGTCTGATATTTCTTCATGGTTTTATTGAACCACATTTGTGGACGAATGTTTGCGGAGACGAAGATAGCGGAGACAAAGGTTTGCGGACGAAAATATGCGCAAAGATTTGCGGACGAAGATTTGCGTGGACGAAGAAATGCGTGGACGAAAAATGCGGACGAAGATTTGCGGTCGAAGATTTGCGGACGAAGTTTTGCGGACGAAGATTTGCGGACGAAGATTTGCCGGGACGAAGATTTGCGTGGACGAAGAAATGCGGACGAAGATTTGCGTAGACGAAGAAATGCGTGGACGAAAAAATGCGGACGAAGATTTGCGGACGAAGATTTGCGGGGACGAAGATTTGCGGACGAAGATATGCGCAGACGAAGATTTGCGTGGACGAAGAAATGCGGACGAAGATTTGCGTAGACGAAGAAATGCGTGGACGAAAAAATGCTTGACGAAGAAATGCGCGTACGAAGAAATGCGGATACGAAAAAATGCGCTACGAATATTTGCGCTTACGAAGAAATGCGAGACGAAGTTATGCGACACGAATAAATGCGCCGACGAAGATTTGCGGACGAAGAAATGCGGACGAAGAATTGCGCGACGAAGAAATGCCATACGAAGATTTGTCCTGGAATCCTGAGCTCTGTTCGCACCCCGTTTATTTATCAGCAGGCTGCGACCATGCTGCTGCTTCTTGGCTCCTCATTGGTCGAATTTAAGTGGTCTATTCGTTAGACCAATGAGAGGCCAAGCCGCGCCAGCAATAACTTCCTTATATGGGGAAAACCGACAGCACGCTGATATAAAAACAGCGACCGAACAGGGCCCATGACAACGACGCGGGGCGATCGGTCACCACGTGCGCGTGTGGTGGGGACAGTGTGGGGATTTGTATTTATATACACTGGGGATTTGCAAAATGCAATGGCCTTGGATTCGCACGGGTTTCGAATCCCAAGGCTCTAAATACTATCTGTCATTCTAATACATCGAATCTAAAGTGTATTTCAACTCACCTGTTCAACTCACCTGTTTGGGGTTCCCTTGGTCTGAGAGCAGTAGGCGGAACTATGGTCATGAGTACCCAAATATAGGAACGTTCCCATTTTTGGGAACGGAGTTCCCAAATATGGGAACGGGCGTTCCCATTTATGAGAACGGAAGGCAATTTTTCGGCCGTTCGCCCACTAAAACTCAAAAGTGCATCACGTCTCAAAAAAGTGCACGCTGATTTAAGTATCTACTAAATCTCCATAAAGTTATCTTTAATCTGACCGTGGAACAAGGAAATTGACCGTGGAATGATATTTTTAATGATTTTTTAAAAATGACAGAATGGTGGAAATATGGGTTATACGACATTTAACATGCAATTTTAAGGAAAATGAAGCATTTTTTTACATTTTGAGGTCAAGTATAATAATTTTCGCCTGGTTATGAAGTTTCATTCTAGCGACACCAGATGCTGACATATGCAAGCGAACACGCGGACAGTCCCGAGGTAATATTGTTGACTTTTGGTGTCGGGGCGATCGACCGCGTGAAACGTCAGTGATTTTACCGAACTACTGTTGTAAACTCAGTTTCAGTGGTTTAAAATCATTCAGCTGTATTTTATCAGCCCTGAAAGACATATTTTATTTGGATGCTAGCTGTTTAGCGTTGTTTTATAAGCAGCGTCATGAGCGTGGTTTTTGTCTTCGGCGTTTCTAAGCATGATCGTTAGGGGGGAATTTCTCTGATATAGGTCGCTCTGTGTGGCTTATTTATAATTTTTATGCTGATTTCGATCATTCCTCGTGCCCATCCTACCAGGCCTTTTGCCACTTACACTCATTAAGAAAGGAAAAAACTAGATTTTCATTGGGACTAGGTGTTTTGAGGGTGTAACATATTCAGCGTTCCCATTTTTGGATACTTCTTGTGCTCGTCAACTCTCGGTGATTAGCAGACAGGTGCTTGACATGTCTCCACCCTCGGCGCGGACGGTGGATATAGGTATGGAAGACCTTGTTGAACATCGCTGAGCGTTGTGGATTACGTAATCCTGCAGAGGGGGGCGTGCCCGCTGCGAGATCGACGGGAATAAAAGCGCAGAAGACCGGGCGAAACATGCAACGGTCTTGCCGGAAAGGTCATCTGATGATTGTTGCGTTAACAATAATTTGCGGCGTTGGACGTGATGCTTGTTAATGAAAAGAGCCCCTGAAAGGCGTCGGTGAAATCGTTCCCAAATTTGGGTACGCCGTTCCCATAATAAGGAACGCTTGCAGCGCCAGTGTACGAGAGCGTTCCCAAATTTGGGCTCGCGGCCCGGGTGATGGACTGCTTTAGAAATAGGGGAACGATTTGAAACTACGATGGGCCTTACAATATCAAACTCTTTCCCAACAATATTGAGACAACTATCAGGCGGTTCACGATCGTTTTATATTTTTTGGACGTCATTTTACGGTTCTTTTTCTTGTTTTAAATAATGCCTACATGGCGTTCCCATATTTGGGTTTATCGTTCCCAATTATGGGAACGAAAATGCGTTCCCGAAAATGGGTACGCTTGACCATAGTTCCGCCTACTGAGAGTAGCCAAAATGAATGCAGGGATGGGGAGAAGGGAAGGAACCCGCATAGAAAGAGCTCGCCCGATGGATGAGAACACATCCAAACGGGAAAGTGAGCCCACAAGTGCCAAATGAATGAGTTTACAAGAGTGACAAGATACAAACAGCAACATTATAATCGGAACACAGTTAACGGTCGTGGGACACAATTCATTTAGATACGCACTAGAGACTAGTATACAAACAGGGTATCACCCAGTGTCGCAGATAACATGGATTTGAACCTGGTTAAATCTGGTTCAGACACTTCAATTTCAATTTATAGTCGCCATGGAAAAGTGAAGGCCCGGGGACTGTCTGCAATTTGCATCAATAAATAGGTAAGTATCGAGGCGTTTTCAAAAATGATCGCTGTGAGTGGCTCTGGGATGGCGCTACAAAACTTGAAAAAGGTGGGAAGCATTTTTGTTTTGCTTTCCCAAATCTACGTCTTGTGCTTTGCAAATTAAGAATGTGGAATAAGTGTTTCATGCCTATAAAAATTCAAGCTATTGCAATTGGTTCCCTCTCATTGATTTATAAATTGTTGGTTTCTTGAAGCCACTGGAAGCTTTGCAAAACTGTAGTTCAAGTTAGGCATGATTCTCTCATGCCCTAATCTGGAATCCATCAAAAAGAATGTATGGTTCTCATTGAATATTTCAAAACTTGAATGTGAACAATTTTAATGCTAATAAAGAGCACATTTTATCCTTGGGTGAGGCCTCTAGAGCAATACCAATTTTAGGTGAACCACCAATTTATCTCCATGGTTGTATCATGCTGGGTGGAAACTGGAAAGTCACCCAAAGTGAAGTGATCAATAGCACCCTGAATATAAGATGACTTTTTAACTTCTCAGTGATGTCATCCTGGGACACTTCAGCAACATAATAAACTTCTTGAGCAATGAGCACTCAAGAAGTTGAATCATGACATCTGTCATCAGGCAGTCATGAAGCTGATTATGTGATGTCAGAGCATCCCATAGCCCAAAACCTGCTAGATATTACAATTTGGTGGTTACATATTTTACCCAAAAAATATGAATGGTTGTAAACAGACCTGGATGCCTGATAAAGAGCACCAGCCACCAACTGTGTAGAAATGATCTATCTAGGAATGATATCACATCACAGTAGGCCATCTTATTTTTAGCTACTCATGGAAGTGGATGCATGCATGAATCATTAACAACTGGCAGAAATCATTAATTATAACAGGGAGCATTATTTATATTATTTTTATGTTCTCAGACACCCACGTGCAACGAAAGTTTATTGCCGTCGGTTCGAAAAATGCCGTCCGTAGCATGAATGACCAACTTCATCGTCACGGTCAGGTCAAAGCATAAGTGGCTTTGACCTGAAATTAGTGGCCTTGTCAAAAAAGTATCATTTGATTGACGTGAGCATGACAAACGTGACTGTGACGAAACCTCGGCCTCGCCGGCTTCGCAATCATTTTTGGCGAACAATTCACCAAAAACCGATCTCTTACCTTAGGGCATTTGACCTGAAATCAGAGGTCACCGGATGACCTGAGACATCAAAACTGGGTAGGTACCGATCGCTGGGTCTCGTAACTGCGCAATCGCTCTTTTTTCCACTCAAAGTTATAGCTCAATTTGGCGAGGGGACGTTACCCCCCACCCCCACCCCCGGTCTTTTCGGGGCGTGTGTAAAAACCGATTGGTCCGGCGACTGGCGACGGCCAATCCGTCATAGACTGAGGAAGGAGACGTATAACCATAGTCCATACGCATAACGTCTCTCCTGACCGCGGTTGGCAACAACTCGAGAACTACTGTTGCGATCGCCTTGAAACTTCATGTAGGGTCTCTAAAGCCCGACATCAGTTTTACATGATCTGTGATTTTTTTGCTAGGTTTCCTCGACACTTATTTTCCCACAAGATGCCTAATAGAGACGGGATACCGGTGAGACGGGGACAGAGACGGAGACGCGGGAACGCTCAGACGATAAGGGAGACCTAGAGGTCGGTCTGGAGGAAACTGGAGCACACCAACATGCCACTAATAAAATCCAGCACTGGCGGCAAGCCAGCTATTCGCAGCGATGTTACGGCACCACTGGCAAGCTGTATCGATTGGATTGGCTCCCCTTCAACTTGGTCGATGTTTGACTATTCTGCTTTATCTAGGACCTACCGTTAACGGTTTCGTGTTCTTTATGGTTCGGAACTCTGGAATCTGGGTTCCTGGAGGAAATAATTTTGTCGCAAGTTGACCGTTTTTCAAGTATAAGACACCATAATCCTCGTTGATATTTCACAAACAGCCTATCGACCCTAAACAAAGCTAGTCGGTAGCATAACAGCAGTTTCTTCATACTTTCTGTAGCTACCACCCAGCCGAGCGCGAATTATGTACGATCTCCAGTAAAATAACGTTTTGCACAAATTGATTCGCAATGTCGATTCCAATTATCTTCTAGTTATATGTAGATAACCTCACCCGGTGCCACCTGTCCTAGAAGATGATATATATAACGCATCTAATGACAACATCGGCGATAAAAGGTTGCCGCCGGACGCGACAATCTCAACGTCCTGTCAGCAGGTTGTCTCTGAAGCCTTCAAAATGGTTTTAAGCCCCTCTCGTATCACCGGCCAAATCTTAAAACTGGTATATAACTCTATTCATCCACCAGCCAAGCGACTAATCACGACACATTCGAGGAAGACTCACAGCATAACTTAAATAAAAATTCACAACGCTGTTGGGATAAGGGCCAGATTACCTTTGATTCGCTGTCAACTAGCGCTCGCTCAGCGCGGACATAATCAGATAGACCCGAGGTGCGGCAAAGACGCGCGCGTGCGGAAACTCTCCTTAGCGATACAGCATGGTGCGGCCGCGCTGGGCTGCGCGGCACGAGCGTCGAGGCAGAGCGCCACTAACGGACGCATATCACACGCTCAAGGCACGGAGACCGGGCGGCGCGCGTTAGTACAAAATCAACGACCTCAGGCCGGGCGGGCGGGCAGGCGCGGCCCGATAGGCTTTGGGTTAAGATGCGTCTCGGCAGGCGCGCTCACAGCTGGCTCACATGGAGACGTCCCAGAGACGCGTGTTGCAGTCCTGCCCGACGGAGACGAGCGTCTTGTTATCGATCCAGGCGACGCGCGTCACCTGGCTCTGATCGTGCGCTCGCTTTAGGATCAGGTGCTGGCGCGGGTCGCGCGCGCTCCAGACGATGACGTTGGTGTCCAGCGAACCAGAGGCCACCAGTGAGGAGTCTGGCGACCAGGCGACGGTGTTGACCTTGGCCGAGTGGAAGGCCCACTCCTGCGGGTTGGCCACCGAGTAGTCCGGCAGCCGGTAGAGCACCACCTTGCGGTGTCCGTCGCACGCCACCAGGAAGTTTCCGTCCGGCGAGTAGGCGGCGTCGGTGACAGCGCCCTGATGCTGCAGCTCCTGCTTGAGTGTGATGTTGCTGCCCGACACGCCGTACACGATCACCTTGTTCGAGTCCTGCGTGCCGACTGCCAGGTCACCGGACGCGGCATCGTAGGCCACCGCCGACGGGTCATAGTCGATGGCGAGCGAGGCCACGCGGCTGCCGCCCCGTAGCAGCAGTACCTCCTTGACGGTGACGACCGCGATCATGCCGTCCGAGACGGCGATGGCGCGCGGCTGAGCGCCCAGCGACATGCTGTCCGTGTAGCCCAGCTTCTGGAGGTCCACCGTGCGCAGCGAGTCATCATATCCGATGGTGTAGAGTGAATCACTGGTGGTAACTGCGCCACTGATGAAGTTACCATGGCCATTGCCTGCCACACGTTCACTGGATCCAGTTGCTACATCCCACTGGGTCACGTTGCCATCATGGGATCCAGTGAAGATGTGGTTGGAGTCCTGGCTGATGGCGAGGGCAGTGATTGGCTTATTGTGTCCCTTGACGACCCTCTTGGGCTGACTGGGGTTGTTGGGGTCCAGGTAGGTGATGAATCCATGCAGGCCAACAGTCAGCAGGTGCTCTCCCTGCCACAGACAGGAGTACTGCTGGTCTTCAACAGTGCTTCCCATGCAGAAGTCAGTCACCAGAGCCCTCGTCTCCACATCCCAGAGTTTGCATGTTTTGTCTCCAGATGAGGACAGCAGCTGTTTGCCATCAGGACTCCAGGCTACAGCATACACTCCTCCCTTGTGGGCTGGGGAACCAACCTCACCAACTAGGTCAGCAGTCTTCCCATCATAGATGAAGATTTTGCCATCAAACCCAGCAGAGGCAAACAGCTCCCCATTGGGGGAGAATCGGACAGCCTGCACAAAGCGGGTGTGTTCGTTTTTGGTCAGCTTGAACTTGAATGGTGGTCCTTCGAAGAAGCCCAGCGAGTTGTCTTCACTGCCAGTGATGATCCTGAATGGCCGTGCAGGCCTGTAGTCCACTGTGTTGATGATCTTGGTCTGGCCGAGGACCTCTCCGACAGAAGTTCCTGTGTCAGCCATGAACACATGGGCATATTTTTCCCTGCCATTTCCGACAACAACTATCCTCTGCGAGTCAGGTGACCACGCGATGTCTCTGATCTCACCAGAGATGGGCTGGAACTCATTCTTGAGAATGTGCTCCAGGTTCACTGTATCCCAGATCCTCACCTTTCCAGATGCATCACCCGATGCAATGTAAAATCCGCTTGGGGAGTACTTTGCAACTGTCACAGTTGTTGAATGCTGGGTGTAAATGTCACAAATTTCAGGGTTGTTGATGTCTCTGATGTAAACACTGTTGCCATTTGTGTACAAGAAGTTCTTGCCTTTCGGGTCTCCTCCCAAAACCAAGGGCGTTCCGCGCTGGGTGCGAGGAAGCGAAGCGAACGCGTATTTCTTGCTGTAAGACATGGTAGTCTTATGCTTTCAAATGAAGTGTCAGTCTAACTTTCTACTTAAATGCAAAAATGGACCTAGAACAAGAAAACGCCGGGCGTGTCCTTCTCTCTCCCACGATCAACCGCAAGCAAACTTTGCCGCAGTTCGCCAGTTTTGTATCGATAATCTTGGTACTTGATAGTGATGGGCAAGTTGTGCTTTCTGAATCCAATGTAAAATACTACGGTAATTGTTTCTCACTTTTATCTTCAATTATTATTTTCAAAAAAAGTTGTTATTAGTTTCCAAAAAAATTAAAAGGCGAGCATTGTGCTCCGCCTGGATTGTACTCGTACTCGCAAGTATTTGAGACCACCTCTTTACCGTCGCCGGGAGTCGAGGCCTCCAAATATGGACACAAGTCGAGCCTATCAGTTCTCTGACTACACCGACCCGGCTATACAACGGATACGGCCTGCCCACGGCCGCGCTTACTCTGAGGATCCCTGCAGTTTAACCGTCGACGATTTGTACGAAATTGTCCATTATTAGATGACAAACAGGTTGATATGACAGCTGCATCGCCCCGAGAAAACTAGAGCTTAGAGCTTACGCCAAGGAAAGGAAAGCATAATATTTTCATAGCTTCCGGGCGCTGCGGTGTGTGAGTGAGAGGGGAAGGAAAAACCGAAAGACATTGCTACTGAATATTGCTGCCAGTCGCCACCTCCACCCCCTGATCCCCTTGTTAAGAATTCAGGCGTACTAAAGTGTGGGATTCATAAACCGGATGCTCAACACTTCCCCAAATTTCTCAGATAAGCTTCTCTTGCGATACGGGCGAGCCATTCCTGCCCGAGGCCTGGCTGACGTGAGCTCCACTGGCTGCAGGCGGTACCGGGCGGACGAACGGAAGCCGGACGATGGACGAGCCGGCGCTGTTCTCCGAGTTTCCGTTTCTGGTCCGGCTTCGCTCCACCGGCGGAATGGTGCTGAAAGGTCATCTGGTGGCGGGGGTGAGTCGCCGGGCCGGGCCGGACCGGGCCGTTCGGCAGGCGCTGGTGGATCGGTAACAAATCGGTCCGATGAATGGGAGCCCAGTCCTCGAGTTAACACCGCACGAAAATCGTAAATGCTTCTAAATGGAAGAGAGACGCGCTCAATTGTACCATCTATAACGTGCATGAGAACAGTCTTGTATGGTCATAATGGTATCAATGGTCTGTGTGCCACCTTCGATCATTTGTGTAGATTGGAGGTATCGTTATGCCATCTCTATTCTCCATCATGTGAAACTATCAACCGTCTGTAACCGTCTGTTTCTATCCTTTCACAATCATGTTACGCTCTTCGGAAATCGGAGCATATCTGAAGTGTCGATGAGTCAGTGTCTGCCTCCTCACCTGGGGCTTCTATCTCCTCTCTGAGAAGTGACTCAACGCAGTGACGTGAGCCATTCGTGTAGTGCGAGTGTCGCAACTCTGTCGCCTGCGTCACTGGGACGTTTTTGCCGTCCACAAATAACACTGAACGAGTTTTTTTTTTTTGTCGATAGAGTTTCGACCTGCCCTGCCCTTACCTCAACTCCCGGACTGATGATAGGGTCGTATGCATTGTAGGGTCGCTTATTGTAGGGTCTCGCCGTGTCCCTGACATTGACCCTGACTGCCCCTGGGTCCCACATTGACTCTGGCCCCCTATCCTGGCTACTCCCCGGCGGTAGGTACAGTCCACAGCAGAAGTAATGTGGGGTTTCAGTCATGGGTATGTTCTGCTTCTGAAGCTTAGGAACGATTAGCCAGACTACAATGAAACTTTGAATGTAGCTTATATGAATCGTCACCCTTGCAGCTGCAACTTTAGCTACTGACATCTTCTTTTCGATCACTCCGCATAAAACAATCGCCAGTCAAAGCCAACCGTTGAGATTGGTAAAACCTTACATTACTTTAGCGGTGGGCTGTACGTCATTTAACCGATCCAACGTACTGTCTGCCCACCAGGGTCGGTGGTGGCCGCTGGTGGTGAGTGCGCCGCACTACCCGGACCTGCGTCACCTGAGGATCACTACCGGCACGGAGAACTCGGCGGAGCAGCCCGAGTCGCCGGTATGGAGGGACGTCAGACATACGACGGGTCCGGGCAACGTCAGACACACGACGGGACGGGTTTGACGGTGGTTAGGAACGGGACAGATGGCATTGGATCAACGCATAAACCGTCCTGTGCTGGAACCGCCAATTGCGATCAATTAGCCGACGGATCGGTGATGTGTGGCTTTCTGGATGAAATAACGTTATACAGAGTAACTTGTTGACCGGGCCATCGAGATTGGTGTGTCGTTATGCATTTTAGTTTTATGTGGGGATAGTGTATGAGATATTTGACCTTGTAATCTTTAGAATGTTGTATTTTTAATATGTTTTCTTGTGACTGACAGGATTTGTCTCGGTGCAGTTCGGTGTATGAAGCCGTCAAGCTATATCGAGACAGCCTGGTAAGAACTACCTTAGTTGTAACTCAACGTTTTCAAGCAGAAATCGATTCACGATGGACGTTGTCCTCATGATTGCCTACCCTGGTGAAATATTTGCTGTTATCGATGCTTGTAAACAAAGTGAGGTGACCTTTTCCATATTGAATTTAATTGAGACTTTATAACATTATGTTGCTCCTAGTGGCGTTGGCCAAGTGATTGTCACACTCACATCGATAACAATTTTTTTATAGAATAACCTCGCTGTGACGATCTCTGTTCTGACTCTGTTTCGCACTTTTGAAGTGTTCTTGTCGCAATACGTTGCGTGCAGCTGATGCTGCATCCCCGCCCGTGTGCCGCAGTCGTCCCGGCCGCCGCCGCCGGACGATGGCGCCACCATCGCCGACGAGGACGACTCGGCGGTGTCCGCTCTGCGCAGTCACATGACCGTCCGGCGGCAGCTGCGCGAGCTGGGCACTCGTCACGTGACCTCCTCGGCCAGTGACCTCAGCTGGGTCACACTCAGCACGCTGGACCGGTGAGGGCGGCTCCGAGGGGACGGGGGGAGGGGTGACGCAGATGGGAACTTGAATGGCCGGACAGCAGGGTACCGGTCTCTTGAGAATATGGAGGAGTTCTAAAAGATTTAGTTCAAGTGGCGCCCGGACGACGAGCCGACTAGCCTCCGACTAGCATTTCTGGCGACGCTTCGTCTCTGCCCGCTGTCTCCCGTCTCTGGATCTGTGTTTCATCACGCATGCCGTGTTGTCTCCCGTTTCCATCGGACTTAAGAATTTATCCGCCTTCAAACTAGGGGCTGCCGTCCCGTTTCGTTCCGTCTACACCGTAGTGTGTAGTGTCACTGTATCCCGTCTGGCGTGATTGGCCACCCGTCTTCTGCCCGTCGTGCTGTCGCCTGTTTTCTTCCGATCTACAGTATACTGTCTCCCGTTGTCGACCGCTTTGTCGTCTCTGACTCGTCGTTTGTCTCCGTCCCCTATTCTGGTTTGAAAGGCTGTTCGGCGGGCGGCCTGCCAGCTCCCTTCTCCGTCTGACCGGCGACCTTCCGTCTCCTTTCTTCGTGCGACCAGCCTCCCGTCTCCGTTAGACCTGTCATCTGCCGTCCCCCGTCTCCTTTGGAAGGTCGGTGGTCCTCTGCGTCCCCCCCCCCCCGACTAGCGTCACGTATCAGTCAGACCCGTCCTTTTTTTACGGCTCCGTCAGACCTAATGTCTAGTCTCCCGTCTGCTTTTGGACCGGTCTGCCGTCCGTTATAATTCCGCTCGGCCGGAGCGGTTCGTTCAGGAAGTGCTCCGGCTGATAGCAGTCTGCGGCGCGTGGCGCTGGCCGGCCGCCGTTTCCGCGCTGAGGCCCGGCCGGTGGTGGTCAGGGTCGGACCGGCCGCGTGGGCGCCGCCTGCGCACAGGAGGTGGCGCAGACGCGCCGCCGCTGTCGCGGGTCGTGGCTTCCGCAGGAACCGGTGACCCATATCTACTGCTGGACTGAGGAGCTGTCCTGGCGGACCGGATAGGCTGCGCGCTGCCGCCGCTCGAAACGCTGCGGAAATAACTGAATTGGGTGGCAGACGGCCAGGAGCATTATTATAGGTACCAGGAAAGTTGGGCTGCTCAGGGTCGCTTTATTAGCTGTAACTTACTCGACCTCAGTTCGCAATGTAGCATACCCAAATGATGATATTGTGCTGATCCTGTGCTATTTTCCGGATATCTAGTGTTGTCTTGCTGTGGTTGTCTTTGTTCGTGTCGCGGTTGCTGTTTTGCATGCAATACGTCAGTCAGGCCATGAGGTCATCCTGTTTGTGCAGCAGCTGGGGTTTCCTGCCCTGAGCGCTCGGTGGTGCAGTTCGTGCCATTGACTCAGTCTCAGCCATCACTGTTTACCGTTTTGTGGCTGCCTTGTCGGCGTTCTTTCCGTTTGCCTGGCGCCTGTCTGCCTAGCTGCTGTATCATACACTGACTGACTGTGGAGTGTGGAGTGTAGACTGCCCGCGACTCCCCGATATGTGCCTTCTGTGTTCTGGGCGCTGACTTGATAAAACAAGGTCGAAGCCCGTCCGACCCTTCTCAACCCGTCTGTTTGACCCTTCCCGGCTCGTCTGTTCCCAGCTCGGCCCGGCGGCACGCGATGACACTGAACCTAGCCGCCGACTACCCGGCCTCGTGTCCGCGGATCTCAGCCGACCTGCCGGTCGAGCTCACCGTCTCCTGGCACAAGGTAAGTTGGTCTCTTATGTCGACTGATATGACTGATGGACTAACGATACTTGTTGGAGATATCTTGCTGAATGTATCGCTACTCTCGTTCGTCACTTCTTATTCCGTATCGTTTCTTTTAGTAGCCGTTAACCGTAACGTACATTTGACCACCTACATGGCTTCCACTGAGATCTACTGACGACTCTATTCCACCATATCCCAGGGCAGCACTCTGCTGGACATTTACCAGCGCTTTGAGGAGGCGGTGGACAAGTACCAGGAGTTTTGGACGGCGCTGGACCGGCTGGACGCTCAGCTGTGGGTGGTGGACCCCGAGAGCCCCTCCAGACGAGACACACGACGGCGCATCGTCATCAGTGAGACAAATGGCATTGTTTGGACGTGCGGATCTTTAACTAGATGCTAGAGCATAGAGGCTAGATACCGATAGACTCGAATGAGCCCGGACGCTAGGAGGTGGGGAGGGGACACAGCCGAGACGCAAGTCGTCCGCGGCATCCGATTGGTTCTCATGTTGCCTTTTCGGGATGTGTGGACATGGATTATGTTTTGGCTGTTCATAGTTCTTCTGTCTGTATCCGTCTTACCTATTTGTGACTGATCAGCTCTCTGAAAGGGTAACGATTGGTCATCCGCGCTGTGGAACATATATTACCATTCCATATCAGTTCTGATGGGCGCAAAATGACCTCGTAGTCGGCGCGCCCCTAACCCCCAACAAACAAACAAACAAACAAACAAACAAACAAACCATATCAGTTCTGAAAGTTACAACAAACCCTTTGTCTCCGTTAGGTGACCAAGGGTTATGTGCTGTCCCCAGCTGTCCTGTCCCCAGCAGCTGCCGACTGCCAGGCGTTGACTGGGTCTCATTCTGTCCCCTGCAGGCAGTCAGCTATCCCTGGAGGTGACTGTGGATCCCCTCTACCCGTCGTCAGTGCCCGGCTGTCGGTTTCTGGGAGCGGAGACGGCTGCCGCCGCTCTTCGAGACAAACTGGCCAGAGAGATTGACGTGAGTTGATAATGTGGACACTGCGATAGCTCCCATCCTGCCGGACACCAGATACATGCTCTGTGATGTCCAATAACCCAATACACATACACTGGACCAGATACATGCTCTGTGATGTCCAATAACCCAATACACATACACTCGTGGGCTATGCGCTAGTGTGTTAGGCACTTGTGGTTAGACTGTAATCATGGACCTAGTGATACGAGCGCCTGCAGAGGCTCATGCCTGCCGTCCTCTCAATATTCTACCACCCAGTCTGGTCTTCGGCTGGTCCGCGGGCCGTGACCGCCCACCGCCGCCGCTGCTGCCGCTGCGGTCAGTCGCCAGCCCCGGGTGACATCACTGAGCCGCGCCGCCGGGCCGGGTCGGTGCTATCTGCGCCGCACGCAGCTGGCGGGCGGATGGCACCGCCGCGTCCGCCGGCGCTGGCGGTCCGGTTTGGTTGTGTCCGGCGCGCCGACCAAGGCTAGCGGACTGTTTTTTATTTGTTTTTTTTTTTTAGACCGAGGTTCGTATTCTTCTCGGATGCGTGGAGGAGATGTCTCATAGGAATGGGATATGGTCTGCGCTCAGATCAGTCGATTGTTGAGAAGAGAAGAATGGCTATAGGTACATCAAATCATGCATCATCATAAGCATAAGCACAGTCGTCAAGTACATGCCCAAATGCAGTTTAATGTTTAAGCCGAAGAAAACGGTAGTGTTTTGTGCTTAACAAATCACACAGTTCGTGAAAGATGCGCGTAGGTATTGAAGAAATCGGATGAAAACAGTAGCGTCTCCATTTGCTGAAAAGGTCTCAAATCTCTGCGACTCAAGGGGCTGCCGAAACTACGCAAAAAAATGAATGTCCATTCGCCAATTAAAACGTCTTTTCTTGTAGGTTATAAATAGCGCAAAACTCCCTTTACAACTTGATGATATCTGTAATAACTTAGCTCGCTTCTGGTGGTCCTGAAAAAAAAATGAGGTCGAGTCTAGACGTAATCGAATAGGAAATTAGTGTTATTATTATCATTGTGACCATAATTGCCTTTGGTGGTTAAGTGATTGCAGCTCAAGCCGTCTTCTGTGTAATTAATAAGCCTAAGGTCAACAAACTTACAGCCAATATTGCAAATATGAGGGTCTGAGGACTTGTAATTTGAAAGTTCTGTAGTGGAACATAAAATGAAACGTTTCCTGAATGCGTAGGTGTCGCACTGTGTGGCAACTTTCGACTGATACGCTGTAAAGTGTAGTGAAGCTGCGATCGATTTATAAAGAATGACTTCTGGAAATGCTGCTTGTGCGCTGAAGGTATTGATTCTGAAAACAATCATAGATAAGTCATTTGTTGTATTTTCTGTACAAGTTCGATCGGACATTTGAACGCCGTACACATTCGTAACCAGCCTCTTACTGGTGCACGCTTCGCAAAGCCAAAACTAAGCACGTCGACACTGGTAAATCACAACGTAGGTCATGCATATACTCCTCGAGGCAGTGTGTATTAGTTCACTATGGCAGTGATGAGGGTCAAGTTATCCTTTGAGCGCAGATGTTCTATACATCAGCTGGCGATTGAGAATCCCACCCAGCCAGTCCTATCGACCCAGGCCCAACCATCATCCCTTCACCTTAGCTTTCTCATCGCCCCTTCACACTTCAACTGAGCGTGGACATGATGCCTTGACCTCAGCGCTGTCCTTCTTTTAGAGCCCAGAGACCGCTCTGCAGTTCCTAGGCGCGCCCCGCAGCCCCGGGCCCGGCATCTACTTGTATTCGTAGTCCTCGTAGTCTGCGTAGTCCGCATAGTTCTCGTAGTAGTTGTCGGGGAATGGCGTATCGGTGTCGATGCTGCCGCCATACTGGCTGTAGTCGTAGCGCCCGTAGTCGTCCGCTGTCGAGCTGGTGGTCTCCACACCGCCCCCGATGGAGTTGTAGTCGATGGGTACGAACGGCGCGAACGTGGGCTCGGGCGCGGCGCCGGGCCGGCAGCGGGCGGTGCACTCGGCCGCTGACTCGAACCGGTTGCCGTTGCCGCCGCAGCCGCTGTAGGTGAAGGTGAAGCACATGGTGAGCGCCGCGTTGAAGTAGTACCGCTGCAGCCGCTGGTCGCACGGACCGGCCGTCGGGGGAAGTTGACAGACGTCGGCTGGCGGCTCGGCGCCCGTCGACAGCGGGATGTACGCGTCGGGCTGCTCGGTGGGCTCGGCTGTGCTGGGCAGGGGCGACTCTGTGGGCTGCACCTCGGGCCCCCACCCTCCGCCGCCGCCGCCGCACTGGCGCTCGCACTGCGCGGCCGACGTGAAGCGGTTGTCGTTGCCGCCGCAGCCGCCGTAGATGAACCGGGTGCACTGGCCGAGCCGGGCGCTGTAGTAGAAGTTGGGCTCGTAGCCGCGGCACGGGCCCGGGTCGGCCGGCTGCGAGCAGATGTCGGTGGCCGGCTCCGGCGCCTCGGTCAACTCCGGCTCCTCCGTCTCGGTCTCCGGAGCGGTGTCAGGAGCGGCTGTGTCTGGCAGGGCGGGCGGCTGGGGAGCGTCGGTGGCCTGGTACGGCTCCCGCACATCCCCGCCGCGGTGAGGCATGTCGTGCTCGCTGTCCTCGTCTCCATGAGAGCTTCTTCCTTCGACTCCCTGTGAAGGTCTCCCCGCCCCGCCGCAGCGCTGTTCACACTCGGCCAGCGATGTGAACCGGTTGTCATTACCGCCGCATCCGCCGTAGATGAACCGCTCGCAGCCGCCGCGCGCTGAGTTGAAGTAGTAGCTGGGCATGTACGCCCGGCAGCGGCCCGGGTCGGCAGAGAGGGAGCACGGGTCGCCCGCCGGCTGCGGCGGCTCGGTGATGGGCGCCGGCGCTTCGGTCGGCTCTGGCTGCTCCTCCCTACCATAGTCAGGTCGCCTGTAGTCGGGTCGCTCCTCCCTGCCGTAGTCAGGTCCCCTGTAGTCGGGTCGCTCCTCCCTGCCGTAGTCACGTCGCTCGTAGTCAGGCCGTTCCGCCCTGCCGTAGTCAGTCTGAGAGCCGCCCGGCTGTCCCTCCCGCTCCCTGGGCGGGGCGTAGTAGGGCGGCCGGGTCGGCGGCGGCTTGACGCAGGCGGCTCGGCACGTCTCGGCCGAGTTGAAGCGGTTACCGTTGCCGCCGCAGCCGCCGTAGTAGAATGGGGCGCACTGCTGGCGCGCGGCCACGTACGAGTAGCGGATCACGTACTCGCTGCATCCGCCGGCCACCCGGTCGGGGAGGAGGCAGTCGGCGGGGCCGGGCTGGGGCACCACGCCGCCAGTGCCGCCGCCGCTGCCGCCGGTACCGGAGTCGGGCGAGACGCGGCCGCAGCGCTGCTGGCACTCGGCCTCCGACTCGAACCGGTTGGCGTTGCCGAGGCAGCCGCTGTAGGTGAACTGACGGCAGCCGCCCGAGGCCGGGTCGCTGTACCAGCGCGTGTGCGCCCGCTTACAGGCGCCGCGCACTGCCGGCAGACGACACAGCGCGTCACCGGACGGCTCCACGCACGAGCGCTCGCACTCGGACTCCGTGGCGAATCGGTTACCGTTGCCATCACAGCCGCCGTACCAGAAGCGCAGGCAGCCGCCGTACTCTGTATCGTAGTAGTAGCGCACGGCGAACTGGTTGCAGGAGCCGCGCGCCTTGGGCAGACCGCAGTCCTCCGGTGCGGCGCGCGTCACCGCGGCCAGCGCGCCACCCACCACCAGCAGCAGCAGCGGCGCCATGTTGCCGGCCGCCGATCCGTTCACGACTGACGAGCTGTCGGCGCCGCCGGAGCTCGGCAGACGAGAGGCCGGCGACGCTTCCTTCCGGCCGGCGAGCGACGTCTCGCGGCGGCGGTGGCGGCCTTGATAGGCTGCGGAAACGGGCGGCGGTTCTGGATCGGCACAGAAATCGTATGCCAATGCAGACCCTGCTGGCCGCCGACTGGGGAGGGATCCGTTAGTAGCATTTGGTGTGCCCTATTGTCTCATCCTTCCAGTCAGCAGAGTTGAGGCACAGCAAGCACTTTCGAATGCCTTGTGAGAGCCTTGGTGTTTCGTTTTCTTTTACGATGATAATCGGTATTTCTAAGACAGAACAATGGCTGCAAATATTTGTGATCTTTGACATCTGCCATTGAGCGACATTTCTCTTCCTTGGCTCAGGGCATATTATCTGTTATCAATGCATGGGGCGCAGAACTGTTTTCACCTGTTGAACGTCCATAGCTTATTAGGAGTGTCATGAGCTCTCACTGTCTGTCAACATTTATCTAAAATAATAGTTGTGTTCTTCAATGGCTGTTCTTCTGAAGTCCGTATTCATGATTGATTTCCGCTTCCGGGCGTTGCCCCACCCCATCTCTCCCAGCGCATTACTAGCTGCACCGCTCCCCCGTTCTTCCCACAGTCGTGGGACGAGTACGAGGGTCTGGTGGAGAACCTGGAACGGCTGCTCTCCGTCGAGTTCGTGCGTCGTTCGGCGGCCGGCGTCGGAGGGGAGGCGGCCGGCGATGGTGGCGCCATCGCGGTCGACTGCGGCATTTGTTACAGTTATCGGTTGGAGGGAGAGACGCCAGAGCGGTGCTGTGACGACGCCCGCTGCGGCCAGCCCTTTCATACGTCCTGTCTGTACGAGGTAAGCGGTACATACAGACCGATGTCCGGTATCGAGCAGCGTTCGCTGCGGTCAGCCCTTCCATGCGTCCTGTCTGTACGAGGTGAGCGATACGGACCGATGTTTGGTATCAGGCAGCGGCCGCTGCGGCCAGCCTTTTCATACATCCTGCCTGTATGAGGTGAGTTAGAATGTCGAACGAAGTTGCGACGAGAGAAGTGTTTTATGCTGACTTACTACGAGCCTGGCTCGCCGACTTTCCTTGCTGTTGGCTAGCGAGCCAACGCTGCAGCTAAATGGCTACCGCTGAGCAGCAGACTGAGCACTAATTATAGTGTCTGGCAGGAATCGTTAACATCTGTACAGTGTACTGCCTGCTTGCCCCTGACAGCCTCCTATGATCTACCTAACGATTTTGTTATGAAGAATGCCGCGTTTTATGTAGTTCGCTCGCGAGTACGTTGACTCAACACGTTCCATCTATTCGGGCAACTTGTTCTCTGTAGTCGAGTCAATCATGGCCCACTGCGTCATTTCACGCTGTCATCTATTGTAGCCACCGTTTACCACGTTTCATATGTTTGTTTCCCCAGTGGCTGCGGGCGCTGCCCAGCACGCGGCAGACCCTGCGAACGGTGTTCGGCGAGTGTCCATATTGTTCTACGGTACGTAACTACTATAGTAGCCTGATGGTAGACAAATGGTTGGACACGTTTACACATCTTACAGTTGCACATAAAAAAGTGAAAAGATAGCCTGCTCGTTCTTATTTTGTTAGTTTGCCACGAAGTCAATTATTTATTATTATTTACACGGGGGTTTTTGGGCGCCCGGACTATAGTGGTCATCGGCGTATTATTTACACGGGTTAATACTTAGGATATAACTGGTCCTTCTTCAATGTTCCATTACTAAACCTAATTCATGTTGTTGTGCTTGCTCCGCGTTTGTCAAGTGTTTCTTGGTTGAGACGTGTTCTTCGGCGGAGCTCTGATTGCACCCTTATCATTCCAGCTCAATATTTCAATCCTGTCACATCATGTGCGCGCATTCTCTCATCATGCATCCATTACCAATGCATCATCGCATGTGATCAGTATCGTTTGCCTCGTCTGTTTCAGCCCATTTCCTGTGAAATACCATCTGGATGATGGACTGGGACTTGGTTCGGTTGGCCAACACCAGCCTCTCAGCGACATGTGATCGATTCGCGATGTGCCTGGCTGTCGGTCAAAGACAGCCAGGCAATCATCTGCCTTATCTTCAGACTTGACCATGTTGTGATAACTGTTGTGCGAGTAGCGTGATAATGTGTAGGAAACAGTGTACCCAAATACAGTACGATGTAATGCAAAACAAAGTTTTATTGAGACACAAGCAGCAATAAGTCCAGGTAGCAATGACGCGACGCAGATCTCTCGGCCGACTCAACACGGCGGAGACGGATACCGCCTCCCGGAACGGCGCGCGGCGCCCCCTCCCCTCCCCTCTGCCCTGCACTCGCTGCACCGCTCTACCCCTCATCTCCCGTAGGCGGCGCCATTAACAGCCCACTCACGGTCACGGTAATGACTCCCTGTCGCCTACAGCGAAAAGTCCATAAAGTCCTCGGCCGGCTCCACCTTTTTGGGTGAGGGCGGCGCCGGCAGCTTGGCCGGCAGGTCGAAGGTGTCTTCCTCCTCCTGACGCGGCGGCATCTGGTTATGCACGGCCAGGTCGATCTGAGGTTTGGCCGGCTTCACGTCCCCCCACTCGATCTTGAAGCGTGTGACGCGGGGACTCGAGGCCAGGATGTTGCGCTGCATCTTGTCAAACTGAGGCATCTCGGGCGGGTTTTCCTGCGGGTGGGAGATTGAAGTGGCGTCAGGCAATAATGATTACAATGGCTACATAACGGGTTGCTTTTAGCGAATAGCTACCCTGAAAATTATTAGACCACGGTAAAACACTAGGCAAAGGTTGTAGACACATACAGAGACCTGTGCTTTGACTGGCACTAGCCACTAAGTCAATCCACTCATTTGCGGATAGGTAGAAAACTTATTGTTTTCGTAAAGCGATGGCCATAAGTTTATATCAGAACAAACTACCGACATTATCTGAGACAGTCTTAGACAGCCGGTGGTTCCCGTGATAGCCCTTTCACTTTGCCACAATACATGCCTTCCACCCCCATCGTATCCCCGCCATTTTGACTTATCCGTTCCTGAGGCACCTCTGCACTGCAGCCCCCACGCTAATCACCTCGTCTCACAAGGTTCAAGGTCAGTACAGACAACCGACCGAGCCAGACAGCCGAGAGCAAAGACCCCGCTCCGCTGCACCCATCGCCGGCCAATCATCAGACCCGCTTTCGTGCCCCCGCACCCTTCCGCATGGATGAATACTCTAATAAAATCCTCGGATGCATCATGCAACCACGAACTTCGTGAGATCGCAAGCAGTCCGTCTTTACAAATTCCGATCACATGCGCATTCACTTCGGCGGAAAATCGGGGTGCGATCCGTCGAGTACTTATCATTAGCAGCGACTCACTAATTAATACAGGATTAGGTTCGGTCCACAGACATGCTGTTACAAGCCGACTTAAATTATCCTTTTAGCCCACGGCTGAAAACTCGTACACTATGCATTCGGCAAAACAAAGCTATTGCTCAGAAGTTATCACGTCCCTGAAAACAACCCAGAACACAAGGATAATTTTTCGAGCGCATAGCCGTCAAAATTGACATCAGGCACTTGACCAGTCGGCTTTCCGAGGCTAGGTAGCGCTTCAGCTACCCTCGATTTGATGTGGACAAAGGTTTTGGGCGTGGGCAGGATAAAACCCGCAGAAAGCGATCGACGTGCCGGAAGAGCCATGACCTAACCGGCTACATTGTAGAACATTTACCACACACGGAAATAGTGCGCTGTGACAGCATTTGAGAAATATGACACCGTAATTCAAATATCAACGGCAGCCTGAAAATGTGCAGTCTTGGCTTCTGAGAACAGCTCGTTAAGTACTTTCCGGGAGAAAAAAAAAAACACGATGGAGCAGGCGAAAGCTGTTATTGGTGCCGCTACCGATCGCGGGCGGGAGTTTGCCTGCCCTTGTGCGCATATTAACTGCCCGTCCGCCGAAAACCCCACCCGTGACCCGCATCCTCCCCCTCGCCCCTTCCCCCGTTACCCGTCGAGCACCCACCTTGAGCTCCGGGTCTGTGTAGTCGTTGTTGACGTAGTAGCCCACCCTGACGAACTCCTGGGCGCGGTAGCTGCAGGTCAGCAGCACCACGGTGACTCCCAGCGCGTCCTGCACCGGGATCCGAGCCGTGTCCGGGTGTGGCGCGTCAAACACGAACATGTGCCGCCCCTCGGGCACCGGGCCCACGAATACCGTGTCCAGGACCTGAGAACATCGGGAGGGGTCAGACACCGCCCCTCGGGCACCGGGCCCACGAATACCGTGTCGAGAACCTGAGAACATCGGGAGGGGTCAGACACCGCCCCTCGGGGACTGGGCCTACGAATATCATGTCCAGAACCTGAGAGCATTGGTAGGGGGTTAGGCACCGCCCTCGGTTTCGGGACACACGAACACCGAGTCAAAAACCTGAGGGTCAATCAACCACAGAGATCCACTCAACTATCACTTCTATGTGCTCACAAAGAAGGCAATAGACACCACATAAGGACTCCGATGTGTAAGCATGTAGTCAACAAACATTGAACATTTGAGTAGTGTAGTAGCGCCGTCTCGAGGAGCACCATGCAAGCATAAACAGCATAAACCCTCCGCCCTTACGCAGTTCTCTCTTTCAGTATCCGGGCAGGCCAGCGGTTCGATCTCCTCACCTGATCATGCTCTTCGCTCTCCGCCGAGCCGACATAGATGATCTTCCACTCGAGGTCCTCAGGCAGCGGCTCAATCGCCTCGAATGTGATCTCGAACTTGAAGGGCGAGAAGTAGGGCGCCGGGTTGTCCAGCAGGCTGACGTTTGTGATATGTACCTTTGCCATGACTGTCGACCGAGAGTCCGTTCACGCACTGCCACCAGAGTCCTCTAAACAGGCTAAAAGCCGCGCGCACGCCGCCTTGACCCGACCGAGTCAGGGTACACGCCGTATCAAAAACACCGCTATCACCGCGCCACCTCAGATTGCGCTACAGTACCACCTCCCAACGCCGACTAGACAGATAGCTATATAAATTGCACCAGAAGTTAGTCCCGTGGTTGTCTCTCCCCCACCGGTGTGGTTAGTACGGCTCTGCCGTGTGTGCTGGGCAGAGTGCCGTCCCGTGAACTGCCAGAGGTTAGTGGAAGGGTGCTGGCTCTCGCGGGTCGGTCGCCGGGCGTCTAGCAGGCCTTGTGCAGGGTCCAGATGATTGTCTGTCCGGCGCCAGTGACGGTGATGAGCGACCAGCCCTTCACCTCCAGTTTGTCCAGAACCTCACGCGGACTGGCGGGCGTCTGGTATATGTCACTGGAGGCACAGACACAGACGAGTGTGGTGAAGACTTAGCCCGCGCCCCGTAGGGCTACCGGCGGACCCTACCACCCGTAGGGGGGGGGGGGGTTTCGGCCCCCCCCCCTAAGATCTCGAAAAGTTACCGGCCGATTTTCAAAATTCAAACGGCGTTCGATAGCCCCACCCGGGAACTACCTTGTGACCAAATTTCATTGACCTAGGTCAAACCGATGACGTCACAGGCAGGTCAAAGGTCAGATTTTCACCGTTCACAGGCAATTCAAGAAATGTGCTGTGAAAGCGAGTAAATTGGTAATTTATTGAAAACCATCGATGGTACATTGTTCGTCAAACACATACCTTGCTATCTGAGGTCACTGATACCAGGTCAGGTCACAGCGAGGTCAGGTCACCGGGGGTCACAATATGAATGTGTCGTGTGATACATGTTTTATGGTCCATTTTACATGACAAATGCGATTATGTGGGTTAGGCAGCCTTTGGGGCCAGCCTAGGTCACGTTTTTGTGAAGGTCAGGTCAAGGTCAGGTCAAATTAGGTCAAATTTCAAAGTTGATATTTTTGCATAAAATGGGTATCGATTCGATGCAGCTCGTCACGGGGAGTCTAATGGTGGTCTTAGTTTTGCTCTACGAGTTCTAGAATTGCCAAAAATTGAGTTTGAAAATTTGACGTCATCATTTTTGAACAGTTTTTTCGCTATAACTTGGCCAAAAAACGAGGTATCGATCTGAAATTTGGTATGTAGATAGAAGACGGTAGGCACTATCACATTTATTCCGGTTTTTTCGAAATTCAAAAAACTTTTTGGATTTTTTGGCGAATATATCCAAAAAAATGTTTTTTTGATTTTTGTGGGTTAAAACTCAAAAATTTCAAAAATTCGAGATAGCAGTTTTGTAGCCCTGTCAATTCTACACCTTTTATGTCTTGATCATTTTTCTGTATCTTCAAAGCTGTAGTCCTGACAGGTCTTCTCGCGAAGGTCTTTTTTCGGTCGAAAATGACAGAACATGACGTCACTCTGACGTCATTTGTGGCCAACCTATCATAGCCTCTGGAAAAATTTTTGGTCACAATGTGTAAAATTGATGCCCGGAGGGGTCCTGAAAGTTTGGTGGCGATATCTCCAGCCGTTTAGGAGATATCGACCGAAAAGGACAAGGGGGGGCCGTTTCGGCCCCCCCCCCCCTACGGGGCGCGGGTTAGAACAATGGCAGAAACACGTTACAAGGCTGCAGGCTCACACCCCGAATAATTTGGATACGAGAACAGGTAACAACATGATATTGATGTGGAGTTTGGAGTAACATGTATCAGATTACGAATCCTAGGCCCTAGGATTCGTACTTACAAAATTACTTACAAATCGTGACCGATTTCTCTCAGTTTGCTCGCACCCAGATATTCCATCAACTCCGGGTCCGAATCTTTATCGCCAACATTGGTAGGACCAGATTCCTGGGGACAAAACAACATGAACATTGAACAACTTCACCAAACTTTAATATGAAGCATGGAATGAAATTAAGAAGGGTCAAAACACTCATATTATATTCTGTATGACAGTTGTACTTCATTCCTGATTTGTAGGTTGCTGATGCCCCCTGGAGCTTCTGGAACTTCAATACCTATTTAGACTTTCTTCCTTGGCAAAATGTCCAAACTAATAATAATAAACCAATTTCATGACTGGCCACTGGCCAATTTAAAGAAAGGTCATAGTTGTAAATATGTCAGCCAATGTTAGGCACATTTTCTAAATGCATTATGTAATTACCGCTCAAAACAGGTTCATGATGCATGTTGGCATCCCACATTTTTGTCCAAATATAATCAACCAAGTGATTGAAAGAATACACATTATTCTGTGAAAATTTAATGGACTATGGTAAGAATGGGGTCATGGGATTACCACATATTTGGTTCACATAGGTTCACAGGCACTTGACAGAGCATGTGAGCAGCAAAGAATCAATGCTGAGGTATGCATATTGAGTCTCCCTAAAATCTAAATCTCTTCATACCTCCTTCAAACACAAAGCATGGATAATAACAACATAACATTTGACCAATCAGCTGGTTGATGAAAGTGCTCACCATTCTGATCAATGTAGAGATCATAAGGTAAGGCATGATTATGAGCAGTGGACAGTAGCAGTGCTTCCTGTAACTAGAAACAGACAGTGGCAGCACTGGGCATGATAGCATACAAGCAACAATGCAGCAGCCTCAAAAACTACAAGAGTTTAATCATGCAACACTGCCATCACCAGTCACCACTACACAAGAATGTTTCAGGACTAAATACATAGTTCTGCATTTTTCCAGTGGAGAAACAACTAGCCAATAACATACAAAGGGAAACAAAAAGAATGAAACATTTGTGATATAGTTATAAGTCACCATCAAAGCTTAGGAGGAATATGAAGCCAGCACGGCTGTTATAGCCTTACAAATGAAAAAGGGCTAACGTGCCAGTCTAGCCAGCCACCATCCACTGTTTTCCAGTATTTTATTGTTGTTAACCCAAGCACCAGGGTGTGACCATCAAAGTTAATACCATTTGTTCAGTCTTTTGGTTCAACAATGCACCACTTGGGCTCCTGGTTTTACTAAGGATGCTTGGCCTGCCATAATTATCATGAGAACCTGTCCCACTTTGCCCTTTGCTCTTAATATGGGCCAGACATTGGTGTGTCAATGATTTAAAACATCAAAAATGATGATTGGCAAAAGGAAAATCAATATATGCTAACTTACAGTTCCTCATTGCTCTTCCAGTTCCTCCCTGCACTGGTATTACTACAGAAAAGAATTTATCTGCATTCTGCTTCCAAGACGAATATCCATAATAATAAATAATAATCACAATTTAGTCATCTGATATGCAGAAACAGCAAAAAGCTAATGAAATTAATGACTGCAATTGCCACTTATCCTGATGAAGTTGCTCATATTATAATCAAACATTGATTTACGTTGATATGTACTGAATCTTAAATGACTGAGATCAATAAAAATGCTACCTCAAAATAATGCAAGCTTTTTAGTGGTTTCAATTGGAGGTGTTCTAATTCATGATACATGGATTTGAAAGACACATCATGACCTAGCCTGTAAGGATAAATGCCCTCGAAGCCACAGCATGCCAGACGCCAGTTTATTGTTGAAGTTGAAGTTGAAGTTGAAGTATTAGTAAAAGTGTAGAAAACAAAAACAAAGCTACAAGCAAACTGCACTGAGGAAAGACTGATAATCTGACTGGAAAGCCATAAATTTGTTGAATTTTGGGAATGGTACAATGGAAGTTATTTAAACAAAATACAAATGTAACATTTGCACAACTCAAACTACATCAGAATTAGAACAAAGAGGAAATTGAAATCAGGGAAGAAAGTTTACCAAAAGAGAGGCAAGAGCAATTCCAGAGGTAAGAGACTTTGAAACGTCGTAACACCAAGCAACAGGAAAGAGTATAGAAATGCACGGCCAAGCTAACACGATCCAAGAAGTGTCCGAAGACCCTGCACCGCCAATCCTGACCCATCCAAGCGCCGGTTTGCTAGCGATCTCGCACTTTATGAACGCCCTACGGTTCATCACCATCAGAAACAGCTTGGACAACGAGACACTACAATCAACAGAAACGAACTAACCAGAAATGCATCTACAAGCCAGTATACATAAAACTCGCTCTACTCACCAACAAAACTGCAAAACTCCGCAAAACGACCTAACTCAAAACAAAATTGCCCCCCTCGCGGTTTATTGACGGGCTTTTGGTGATTTCGGCGCGAAATTGCTGGCCGTAGGTAAAAACCTTCGAAAAAGGAGCTTTTCCTTCTACGCTCCCTTGCGTATAAAATTGAAAATGGTCCTCTACCCTTTGATGTTTTTTTAAGAAATATTTTTTAAAGAAATTTAAAAGAAATGTGGAATTAAAAAACATTCTTTTGCAAATTATTCACAAAAATAAATTAAGGGCATGGCCAACAGCTGAAGGATATGGTATCACTATTTTGGGAACTGGCAGCCCATTCGAAAAACCAACGCACAGAAGACAATTTATTGCGCGATTCATTTTTGCTCGTGTTGTGTTGTATAGGCAAGTATAGGTCGGAATCGTTTTTTTTTTTTTTTAATCGTGATGTCCTTCGTTGTGTTGTAACAGTAAAGTTTGACGTTTTCAGTCTTAACAAACTATCTCATTTCAATGCATGTGTGCTACTAAATGGCTTAAGTTAGTACCACTATAAACCTGTGGTATGATATGGCGAGGGCGCATTATCATTTCCTCATGATTTTCTTTTATACCTAAATTGAAATTAGGCTCAAATTGAAATATTATAATGGACGGATTGACAGAAGTGCATAGCCCACGCTACACAGAGCTGTGCGAGCCTGAACCCCTCCTATATGACTAGGTGCACCGTGGAAGTGATAATGATATGCTATGCCATATCAATATTCAATGTGCTACACAGTGGCAATGCTTTGCAAATCTCACTGAGACATTTCATCCCATTCTGATTTGGCTTGAACTGACTGGCTGCAGCTGCTCTCACCCAATGCAGGTTGTCCCTGTCAGGAGGCTTAAGAATCAAGTGCTGGAGTAACTGGGGCCTGTGCTCTTGCTATCAGGTTTCCAACACGGTATTAGTAGAGCAGACGTCACACTAAGGTTTTCCAACCAAGGAGAGGCGCCATACCCGGAGGTGCTTCTTTCTAGGAAAACCTAAACAAACCTAACCTAACCTACAACCCTCAACCTACAAACCTACAACCTACATACCTACAAACCTACCCTACAACCTACAAACCTACAGCGCCTCTCCTCGGTTGGAAAACCTTTGTGTGACTTCTGCTCTACTAATGCTTCCAACACTACCGACTGAGCCATGGAACAAACTAATGATCAGGAAGGAAGTGATAAGAATAAGAGAAGAGTATTTTTCTCTATTGCTCCAGTGTCCATTGTTTCAGTTAAAACATACATTGAGGTTATGACAAAGGTACTACTACTGACTGAATGCTGTACAGTAATGCATATGACAAGATTTCCTGGTGGGGGGGGGAGGGGAGGGCACTGAGTGCTACCTGGTGTGGTACATTCATATGTGGGTTGTTTTGGACCTCAACAAGTGAACTTCCTTGCAGAGTAGAGTCAGACTCAATGGGCCAATGGGGTCAACCGGGGAATAGTTTTCCTTTTATTTGAGTTTGTTTATCAAATATCATGAGGGCAAGAGTGTATGAATTCCATGGAACCTATTGTTGTGCAGGCTGGTAAGGATTAATGTTTTGTTGTGGCTGAATTGTGTAAAGTGTTGTGGATTTGTTGCTCTGCTGGAGTAGTGTGTTGACTCTGTTGCCACACATTGCAATCTGGATTGAAGTGATTGGGTTAATAAAGGTAGATACTAGGTAGTGCATTTTGGTTCACCTAGGTGTACACACACAGAAATTTAGTTTTTTATTATTAAATGACTTGAACTGTTTGGTTTACTGAGACTTTAGTACTTACCATATCTTATGCATGAAAGGTGTTTTAGTATAATAATGAATATGCCCCTGATGTGGCATGCCCTAATAAACGAGCAAAAAATACTATGATAAAGATTATATTGAACAGAATTCTAGTTGTGTATTATGATTCATTCAGGTGCATATGTTTTTATATGTATAAATTTACCCTTGACTCACTAAGCACTGTTTCAGTTCATTGATATTCAATAGTCATCAGGCAATAAAGATGGATCACAGTGAAACTGTGGATATTCAGGGAAGTGAGGGTATTTCATCTTCTGAACCTACTGGAACCTGTGAGGATGATGAACATATTTTGAGCAGCACTTTGCAAGCAGATAACATTGAAGATGCTAGCTCATTATTACCTGACTGTGAAGAAGTGGATTCTTACCAGTAAGTTTATATTTTCTTGAGACACTTTCTTGGTGCAATGTGACAGGATTCATTTTTTTTATTTAATAAATTTAGTCCAAACCTTTTGAATGGAACGATTCACAAGGACAGAGCCCCTGCTAAGTGGGGATCTGTCTTTTCATCTTATTCTATTTCAATCATATAATTCGGAATTCCCAGTCATGTTTATGTCGCAGGATGCAGAGTAGTAATGTACCAGCCCCTCCCACACCGCTGTTGAGTGATACTGCCCTGCTCGGTCGTCAGGTCAGAGTGTGAACAGTGGCTGGAGCTGTGGTCCGTGTATCAGCGGGCGGCCGCTGAGCAGTTCGCGGCGCTGGCCGGCCTGTATGACCAGCTGGAGACGGCGGCGCCCGGGACGGCCCGGGACAGTCCGCGGGCGGCCGGCGGACGCGCCAGGCTGGCAGTCCGATACACCACCTGCAAACAGGTCGGTACTGCGACTGGGGCGTGTGTGTTGTGATTTTAGCCGCGTTACGGAAATAGGGTGTACTTGGATCCATTCGTGCCGTAGATTTTTTCACCGTTTTTGCCCTTCTTGTCACCAATTCTTTCTCTCTCCGCGGCTGGTGTCCATTCTTTCCAGTCCTTATCCATTCCCCACCCAGATTCAGGCATCGGTAGGATTGTGATTGCAGGATTGCAAAATCCTGATTGCATTCCTTTTTGGTGGATTGCACCTGGATTTGAAATCCATTCCAAAAAACAGGATTTGATTGCGGATTGGATTGCATCATACTTCCAATTTTTGCAATCCAATCCGGATTGTGTTTGATTCGTGCTTTGAAATGGTTTGTTGCGATTAAAAATTATGAGATCGGCTTCATCGGCTTAATGTACTTTGCTATCAAGGCCTTTATATCGAAACTTGAAATAATTTAAACGCTTTTAACCCTCGCATGTGTGCGGCGTTTGCCAGCTTCTAATGTGTAGGGGGGGGGGGGTCGGTTGGACCCCCCCCCTTGCCGTTTGGCCCCTGATCGAGCTAGAGCTTCGCGGAAAAAACGAGCGTGTTGCCCGTGACGAGAGGAAGCCGATGATGCCCAATTTTAAGGTCCTAGGTCATTGGTTGACCTTCCAGGTCAGGTCAATGACCCAAAGTCGGGAAAATCGGGACCTGTTATAAAGTCATAAAGTGTGGCTGCTAAGGGGTTTTTCGGGGTGCTGATTACGAATATCGTGTTAGTTTTGATCACAGATGATGTCTTGAAGCATTTAGACCAGGTCGGGTCAGGTCAGGTCAGGTCAACCAGTAGGCGTCGTGACGGGTATTCGTAGTACGTGTCAACCGCCTCTGACAGCTTCGTAACATGTTACGAAGTCACCAAAACTACTTCGTAAATGTTCAAATGGTTGCTAAATTCGAATTCAGCTCCAAAAACTAGCCTAGAAACATGTAAAACTCGAAAAAGTGACCCGAGGTCTCCCGAGGTCACCAAAGGTCAATGACCTGACCTGACCTTCAGGTGACCTTGACACACACGGGAGTAACATCAAATCACATGTTTGAACGTTTGAAACCACGAAAAGCTTGCAAACACGCGGCTAGTGCGAGCCGACATACGCGAAATCGCGATTCCGGCCAAACATGGTCTCGGAAAAGAGGTCACAGGTCAAAGGTCATTTGGGTCAGGGTCATGAAATTTTCAGGGTAGGTGTAAAATTGATCAATGCGAGGGTACTGAAAGTTTCGTCGCGATCGGCCGCTTTTTACGCGAGTTATTCGCGAAAAACCACGGGGGGGGGGTCCATCCGACCCCCCCTACACATGCGAGGGTTAATTTAAACGCTCAAAATAATATACGCTGATGAACTACATAGGAAGGGTAAAATTACGTATTTGAGGGCGAGTTTTAAAAATATAAAACACTGGTTGGGTAGAGGTTTAAATGTGGGGGTGTTTGAGGTAAAAAATATTTCCCATAAAATACCTGTGCCTTAGATAGGAATTACTCGCAAGACTAGGTACTAGAAATGGGAGATTTGGGGATGGAGGCACGGCCCTATGCCCCCCTCCCTCCCCCAGATTCACTAGTGCACATAATAATACAACAGGATTGCAAAAAAAGGATTGCAGATTTGATCACAATCCAAGTGAAAAAAGGGGATTGCGGGTAGGAATGCAATCCACTTCGGCACTAGGAATGTGGATTGGGAATGCAATCCTTTCAAAAAGGATTTTACCGATACCTGCCCAGATTACTTTCTCCCCATTGTCTGTAAATCTGGCCCAGCCGACATAGGCGGCGGAACGGGGCACCGTGGGCACCGGGGCACCGTGCCCCCTTTGATTTTGGCATTTTAACATTAGCCCTATTGGCGTTGCATGGAAATAATGGGACCAAAAGTCGGCAGTGCCCCCCCCCCCTTAATTGAAGGTGTTCCGCCGCTACTGCCAGCCGATCGTAACTAATAGAGTAGAAATCCTGTATCTTAACCGTCTACACTCCTCTCTGTCTGCAGCTGCACGCCTCCAGCCAGCAGCAGTCGGCATCGCTGGCCACCCAGGTGCGTCAACAGCTGCGGATGCTCACCGCTCGCCTGCGCCGCTGCCGCGCTGCGTTTGTCGCCATCGCGCGACTGGTGCAGTGGAGCTCACCAGACAGGTAATGGGTCGCTGCTGGGCTAGGAATGGATCATGTCATGATAGCCCCAGCCTAACCCTCTTTAGAACTAACAAGTGTTACAAGTACATACGATAAGTTGTCAAGTGCTGTCAGTCAGCGAAGTGTTGTGTGTTTGTGGTGTTTTCGTTTTGTTCCGCTCACTCTGTTCCGCCTTGCGTTTGCTGTGTTAGCTGTTGCCCTTGTGCTGTGTACAGTCGTTCAATACCGTTTAATTTCCGTTTAATTTCCTGGGCGTTGTCATGCCTCCGGTATGCTGCGTCGTAATGGCCTTTCCCCGCAGCTGTGCTCACGGTTCCTGTATCGGCAGCGCGGCCGTCTGCCCGGAGGCTCTGGTGCCCGCCGTGCGCGCCGCCCTGGTGACGCTCACTGAGCGCGCTGATACGCTGACTGCCGAGCTGTCCGAGGCCACCGGACGACTGGAGAGGACGCAGCAGAGGCTGCAGGAGACGACCGACCGTGGACCGGACTCGTCCAGGTAACTCACCTAACACCGGCGCTGCGCTGCACTTCGGGTGGCCAGTGCCACGGGCATTCGCTCGAAAAGCAGCAGATGCGCTTTGAAACGCCTCAGCTTTCATATTTTCTCGAAAGTAATTAAGTGACAATGTAGTGTGTGACGGATGACGTGCTATATGAGTGTCAGACGAGGCTAATGAGATGTTGACTTAGGTATCTTATCATTGGATGGTATTTTTCACGTTATGTAAGACCTCTCTTACTAACTTCGTGAAACATTTGCTTGCTGTTATAGATCAGCATTTCCTTTCGGCTTTCCCCATCCCAGCCGAGTAGCTGGTGCTCAGTGCTCACACACCTCCTGCCACAGGTCCTGTACACAGTCGGAGGACAGGGAGCAGCACATCGAGCTGCTGCAGACCAGGGCCGACAACGCGCGAGCTCAGTCGGAGGAGCTGCAGACACAGCTCGCCGAGCTTCGGTGAGCGCGTCTGACTGCCATCACGTGCATGTGTAATTTGAAATGTGCTCTTTGGACTTGAGCGTTACGTCCTGTTTTCTGTATAGGTGCGGCACTTATGAGAGATATTTACGAGAACTTTGGTGGTCTGCTGACGCCTCGTATGTGATGATGCTCCATTTATGGCTTCTTGTTTTGTTAATCCGTTTGTTTTTTGGCCGTTTAGACTGTTTGAGACTTACCGTCACTTGACAGTTTTTAGCTCAAGGGCAAACTTAATTCGTCATGACACTGAATAGTTATATAAGATCGATTAACTACGCTGATGTAATAATGCAAGAGATGCTAATCGTACGTGCTTTTTCAGGGAGACGAGTTCAGCGGCGCTTTCGAGGAGCGTCTCTCGGTTAGAGACGCTGGAGACGGAGCTGTTGGAGGCGCACACCAGATACCGGGACTCGCAGCGGGAGCTGTTCCAAACGTAAGGGGGTTGTACTAAACTTAATGCAACTCCTCCAAGCCTAGGGGAACTCTATCAAACGCAAAGGTGCCGTATCAAACGAAGGAAAACTGCATTGATTAAATGTTGGCTGAAGGGCTTATACGTTGAGGGAGCTGCCCAAGCGTAAGAGTATATTAAATTTCAGGCCCCTATAATTTGCCTGCCTTATGTAGAATATGAGCTGGAATTCGTGAGCAAAGCAGTCGTTTACTTCATTAGTATGTGATTCAAACCTTGTATTGTTTTTGCATGTTGAGCCAAATGTCAGCTATATCAGCAGGCTGCTCGCATATGCTGTATGCGGCCTTGGATGTCCAATGTCCATCTATGGCAGACAGACCGCCCGATCAGCTCCTCACCTCCTGTGTGTCTGACTCGCTGAGTATGGTCTCGGATTGTTTGCTGATGACCGTTGAATCTCCCGTGTGACCCGCTGCAGACGATCTCACTCTCGCCTCTCGCTGTATGTCCGGCTGACCCGCCGTTCATTACCTACCACCCTGTACTGTATGACCCACAGACCGTATCGGCTGTCAGTTGTCACTGTATGGCCGGCTGACCCGCCGTTCATTACCTACCACCCTGTACCTACTGTATGACCCGCAGACCGTCTCGGCTGTCAGTTGTCACTGTATGGTCGGCTGATCCCCACCGTTGACTACCACTCTTTACGTCCCGCAGACCGTCTCGGCTGTCACTGTATGGCCGGCTGAGCCCCACTGTTGACCACCACTCTTTACGACCCGCAGACAGTCCCGGCTGTCGCGCGAGGTGGCCGGCTCACCCACCGTTGACTACCACTCTTTATGACTCGCAGACGGTCTCGGCTGTATGACCGGCGGACCCACCGTTGACCACCACGCTGTACGACCCGCAGACGGTCCCGGCTGTCGCGTGAGGTGGCCGCGCTGCGCTCCGAGCGGGACACACTGGCAGTGCGGGTGGACCGCTTCCAGCGGCTGACCGCCGCCGACGCCCAACACTCGGCTCTGCAGAAAGTGAGACGGCTCTGGCAACGGGGAAGGAAATATGTACAGTCTGTCTTAAAAGCACCGCGCAAAGTGACGGTGGATCCATCAAGCCTGACTGAGGAAGGGCCTGCTATAATTTGAAAGTCACCGAACCAATAAACCTGGGGAATGGACGAGGATGTCCATCGCTTCGGTGACTCAAATTTAGCAGGCCCTTCCTCGGTCAGGCTTGTTGGATCCACCGTTACTTTGCGCGGTACTTTTAAGACAGACTGTACACAGTACGACACACTACAAAGTTACACGCCCATATCACAGCTGCCAGCGCCTGGGCACCACAGACGCCGGACACCGCTATGCAGAAGGTGGGACGGCTCTGGTGATGGGGAAATACCCGCTCATTTGGACGGCTATCAACGGCTGACCGCCTGTGGTGCCGATCAATCGGCTCTACGAAAAGTGAAGGGATCTGGTGACAGGATGAACGGGGTGACAAACAAAATGCATTCAAAGCTCCAGAGTCGTTAGAGACCAGCGAGGTTCACCGTTCGTGCCTTTTCTGTCACAAGAGGCTAAGTGATGTGTTGTTTGAAATTGATTCAACTGCTACACGGCGATGTCGGGGTCCCCCAGCTAGATGTTTTGTTTTTGTTTTGTTTTTTTTCTGGCCGGGGGGGGGGGAGCATTTTGCTGGTGACACGCCGTGCCTTAATGCAGCACAGCCCGGCTAGCTCAGTCGGTAGAGCATGGGACTCTTAATCCCAGGGTCGTGGGTTCGAGCCCCACGTTGGGCGTCTCTGTTTGGTGCCCGAGAGGGGTAAATAACTGTGGTGTTACTGATGCGGTGTTACCGATGTTACCGATACTCCTCTCTGAAGAAAATGTTGAAAGCACGGTGACTATAAATAGTGGGAAGTTCACCCCTTCCTCTCTCCGGTTGAATGCGCTCGTTTCATTGTGCCGGGTGAATTTTCTGATCTGTCAGGGTGGCTGGACAATATGATCCCCATTAAACATTAAAGGCACCCATTAAAGCCACCAAACGTAACATTGAGATGAGATATTACGTATATCATCTAGAGCCATTGGGATTAATACAATGGCTCTACGTATATCATCTAGAGCCATTGGGATTAATACAAGAGTTAAAAAATTGTGCAAGGAGAACAACATAGGGTTTATCGACTGTTGGGATGATTTCTGGGACAAACAAGAACTGTATTCGATAGATGGCTATCACTTAAATAGACAGGGCGTGCTCCTTTTGAGCGAACTCTACGAAAAGAGGGTACAACAGGGAAACTAAAGAGGTCTAAAGGTGAGGAAGACAAAAAAGCAAAGGCCATTGACACGTCTCTAAAATGTTTGTATACAAACGCTAGGAGTATAAGAAATAAATTTGGAGAGCTGCAACTTTACATGGATTCTGAAGACCCTGACTTAGTGATTTTGACTGAATCGTGGGTTAGTGAAGGGTTGTTGGGGGATCGCATCAAAGATTATGAGGTAGACAAATATAATCTGTTCTCCTACCAAAGAACAGCGAAGTTAGGAGGCGGAATTCTTATATATGTGAAGAGGAATCTTAAGGCTATTGAAATAGACCGTTTTGTTAAAAATACTAATATTGAGGCACTCTGGATAGACATTTCCGTGGACGATGCTTCAACAAATAAAATCAGATTAGGTGCATTCTACAGACCCCCTAATCAATCGAAGGATACAGATTTAGCTATGATAAAGGAGATAGAGAGCGGAATTAGTCAAAGGACAATCATTATAGGAGATTTTAATTTGCCAAAACTTATGAGTGCAAATGCAAACTGGGAATCGAGGCTTTTCAGGGAAAACTTTGAAGAGCTTTTTTTGACACAGCATGTTGTTCAGCCAACTAGACATAATGAAATACTTGACCTAATTTTGACTAACGGCGAAAACCTTATCAGAGACGTGAATTCAGGCGAAAGCATTGGAAATAGTGATCATGTGCTTATCAGATTCAGCATACAGGGTCAAGTACAGAAAAGAAAGGTCACATTACCGATCATGCCCAATTTTGCCAGAGGAGATTATGATGGAATCAGGGCATTCTTTCAAACCATTAAATGGAGAACTATGTTAGAAGGCAGAAACGTTCACGGAATGTGGGAGCTTTTCAAGAAAACACTCACTGAGGCTCAAAATCAGTTTATTCCTAGGAAAAAGCAGCGTGAAGGGAAGTCCGCAAAACCTATTTGGTTTAATAGCGTGGTACGGCAACATTTCAGTGAAAAGAAGGGTGCGTTTCGCAAAATGAAAACCAACCCATCACAAGAAAATAAGGCTAGTTATATTTCAGCCAGAAGGAGACTTAAAAGGAGTATAAGAAAAGCAAAAAGAGCATCAGAGATAAATCTAGCTAATGAGTGTGGAGGTGATTTGAAAAAGTTCTTCGGTTTTTATAAATTTAATAAACATGATTCAAGGATTGGACCAATAGAGAGTCAGCATCAGGTTTACCATGACGATGCCGACAAGGTTAAGATATTCAATGACCAGTTTTCGAGCGTTTTTACTGATGAGTGCCTCAGACAGTTTCCTATAAATGTACCTAAATCGACAACACACCCTAAACTTACAACTATTTACCTGTCTGAGGATGACATAACTAAAACTTTGTGTAATCTTAAAGCAAATAAGACAAGTGGTCCAGATAATATTAGCACTAGGGTCTTAAAAGAAGGAGCAAGAGAATTATCTGTTCCACTTTACATTATCTTTAAAGAGTCATTAGAATCAGGTGAAATTCCTGATGATTGGAAGTGTGCGAATGTCATTCCAATCTTCAAAGGTGGAAACAAAACTGTAGTGAGCAATTATAGACCAGTAAGTTTAAGTTCGGTCGTGTGTAAAGTGCTAGAAAGAATCATAAAACGTCAAATAGTTGCTCATTTTGAGGAACACGAGATTTTACTTCCATCTCAACATGGTTTTTGTAGTGGACGCTCCTGTTTGACAAACTTATTAGATTTCCTTGAATATTCGACAGACCTTTTGGACAGGAGTAACAGTGTATCAGTAGTTTATTTGGACTTCAGTAAGGCATTCGATAAAGTTCCACACAAAAGACTCTTGATCACATTAGAGCGTCATGGTTTAGATGGTCCTCTTCTCAAATGGATAGGGGCCTGGCTAGTAGGTCGCAGGCAGCGAGTCATTCTAAATGGCCATCAAGCTGACTGGAAAGCTGTCAAGAGTGGTGTGCCTCAGGGAACTGTTTTAGCACCATTGCTTTTCATTATTTTTGTAGATCTTATAGACTCTGACTTAACAAGTAACATATGGAAATTCGCGGATGATATCAAGATAGCTAAAAATATTACTTCAGATGACGATAGAAGAGCACTACAGGCAGACTTAGATGCTCTTTTAAAATGGAGCAAGGAATGGCAGATGGAATTTAATGCTGATAAATGCAAAGTTCTTCATCTGGGAGAAAAAAGTAACGATACATATTATTTGAATGGAACTAAGTTGGCAACTGTGAGGGAAGAAAAGGACTTGGGTGTTTTGGTGACAAATGATCTGAAGTTCAGTGGCCATTATGTGCAAGCTCGAAAAAAGGCTTTAAAAATGTTGGGGGTTATAAATAAAAATGTATCATATAAAAGTAAAGAAGTGATGAAAAGACTCTATTGTTCATTAGTTCGGCCTCATCTCGAATACTGTGCACAAGCATGCCACTCGTCTCTAAAAAAGGATATAAAACTTTTGGAGCGTGTGCAGAGGAGGGCAACAAAGATGGTTCGTGGGCTGGGTGAAATGAGCTACAGAGAACGCCTGGCTTCCTTAAATATGTTTTCACTTCATTACCGCAGGATAAGAGGGGATTTGATTGAACTTTTTAAAATATACAAAGGGATTGATAAGTTAGATTTTGGGAAGATGTTTACACTCAATACAAATTCCACGAGAGGAAATGGGTGCAAACTAGTAAAGAAATTTTCCAGAACCAAGTTAAGACAGTCCTTTTTTACCAGTAGGGTCATAGAAGCTTGGAACGGTTTACCTCCTAGAGTTATCAATAGTTCCTCCTTAAGTAATTTTAAAAATGAGTTAGACTTGTATTATAAACAGCGTGGGCTAGTGTTCGATGAAATGGTGTAATTGTACCGTGTTTTACATACAGTGTTTGTTCATCTACCTGTAACCTCGTTGGGCCCAAGTGGCCTGCTGTTACATGGAATACATGTTATGTTATGTTATGTTATATTCCTCCAGTGTCCAATTCGTGGTGAATTAGTATTGAGTAGTATCTTTGATTCTCCTAAATTTCGAGTCCAAAGAAGTGTGTCTAAAAATATGAGCCTTTGAGCGTATTGCCTGAAGCAGACTCTTTCCGCAGTCAGGAAATCGCATGCGAGAGCCTATTCAAATACATGGAAGCACGCTCGTATCAATCGCACGCACCCTCCGCCTCCCGGATGCGTTGATACGGGAAAATTGTAATGTATTTTAATAGGCTCTCGCATGCAATTTTCTGAACGCGGAAAGAGTCTGTTTCAGGCTTATATCTCTCTCCGTCTGTGTGGGGTCCGCAATCGCATGTGGCTCTGGAGGACCCTAAATGCGGCCACCAATGCCACAACGAACTTCGCTGATTTACATCTGACTTCTTAGTTGTTGGGATATGGATGCTGGCCATTCTAGCTCCAAAAAGCTATTCGCTTCGCTGCTACTGGAAGACAGGCGTCAGACATTCACCGCCCCCCCCCCCCCGAATATAACTCTTTTGGGCAACGGATTCGCTGAGTCCGTCTACTGGTGGTAGATTTGGAGCCATTCACTATGACATTCACTATCACACAAAACAATTCAATTTTCATATGAATTGGTGCTACTGCGCAATGTCGATCTTACGCCATCCATAAAAAGTCGGGGAGATGGGGAAAACAATTTCAATTAGTTCACGAATGCAAATATTTACGCCATCATCTGCCAATTATATCCAAAATCAAATCAAGGCTGTAGGTCAAGGAAGGCCAAAGACCCATTTGTCATTGCATCCATGTCGGGCGCCCTTATATCCTATAGCGGAAGCCAACCTGCCAGTAAAAACTCTGTGCTACGGCCTGTAGCGTGACTCCGTGACATGGAAGGGTCAGCGTTGTCGGGGCCATCGACCTCCTCACGAAGACAAGGCACGCACTGGCCGGTCCTTATAGTGCAGCGCCCCGGTTCGGTGGGTGTTCTTATAGCTCAGCACTCCAGCCGGTGCCGTCCCAGTCCCGTCTGCCATGCCGGCGGCCCGGCGCTCTCGGTGGCGGCCGCTGCTGGCTGTGCTTCTGACGGCGGTCGGCGGCGCGACACACGAGCACTGCGCCCCGCCGGTGATCGAGGGCCACCCGTGCTCGGATGTGAGCGGCCTGCGCCAGTCGCCGGTGGCCATTGACTCGTGCCGCGCCACTGCCGACGTCCACCGGCCGCTGCGGATTTCTAACCTGGACGCCATCCCGCGCCGGATGACGGTGGATAACACGGGAGACCGAGTGGCCGGGGATGTGTTCTGGGCGCCCGGTGAGATCCCCACCATCACTGGCGGCCGGCTGCGCGGCCAGTTCGTCTACGAGCTGTACGACCTCCACTGGGGCGCGAACAGCTCCTCCGGCTCCGAGCACCTGGTGAACGGGCGCAGCTACGCCGGCGAGCTCCACCTCGGCTTCAAGAACATCAAGTACGCCACTGTGGAGGAGGCTCTGCTGCACGCGGACGGCGTGGTCGCTCTGGCGGTGCTGTTGGACGTCCAGACGCGCAGTCCGGGCCGCGGACTGACGGCGCTGGCACCGGCGCTGTTCCAGATCCGCGAGGCGGCGAGCTCGGCAGAGCTGGTCTCGCCGCCGACTCTCCGGGAGCTGCTGCCGCGCCAGCTGCAGCGCTACGTCCAGTACGAGGGCTCCTTCACCTCGGTGCCGCCGTGCCGCGAGGCCGCCACCTGGATCGTGCTGCTGGAGCCGCTGCGGGTGCTGGAGCTGGAGCTGGAGCTGCTCCGGCAGCTGCGCGACCCCAGCGGACAGAACATCTGCACCAGCCTGAACCGGCAGCTGCAGCCGCTGGCCAGCCGACCGCTGCACACCAAACACGCGCACCGGGGCTGCTAGCGCACGCGCGCTGCACACCGGTCACCATTTCCTTACATAATGTTTGTTGGATCATTTGTTATCTGAACCAGGGAAATGTTTTGTGTTTTGTAATATGTGTTTGAGTTGTGTAATAAAGTGTATGAACTTGACATAAAACAGCTTTATACCGACCAGAACGACACGTCTTTGTAGATTTTTTTTTCGGTTGAACGGTTTATTTTCGTGCCACACTGCAACATACATTGTTCCTCTCCAATGCGCAACAACACAACAAAGACGCCAAACACAGAACAATGACCCGTATCCTTCCATATTGGCGCTCTGACCTACCCAATGGACGACACAGGCGAACACTATATAAACAAGAAAACAAAACAAAAAGCGAGCATTTGGTATGAAGCTTTTTTCACTGTTGCACCAAAATCAATAGGTAGGTATTGTTTGAAGGTTGAGCTGCAAAACAGTTTACAATAATATTGAAACAGGGCACCCGCTCGCACACAGCGCACGCCCGCCCCCAGCCACCAGCGCCCACACCGGCGCCCGCGCGCACGTCTTTGTAGATTGTGGTTACACCGACTATGTAGTTGCACAGGCGTGGATCGACCGGACACACTAGAGAGTAGGGACACCAGAATATGGTGGCATACGTAAAACGCGTAAAACCTTCCACTGCTGACATTCATGGCTAATCATGTCGATCAGACTGGTGAACGACAGGTTAACTGAAGGTCAGGTGGACAGTGGACACGTACAGCCCTCAGCAGACTGCGTGGTAGGTATTCTTTTTTTCGACAAAACCGATAATAGCTCAAAGGCTATGCTATCAGTCGGTCGGAACTCATTGCACATAGATGCGCCGTGCTCCACTCCTTCGATTAGGTCTATCACTAAACAAACTATACGCCTTGTGTGGCAACAAAATGCAAAAGTTTGTTTTGGGGGCAAATATAAACTTTTGGGTTTTGTTGCCGAACTAGATGGAAAATGAAAACGGTGATGATGCCAACCTAAGGTACGGAGTCTCACGCGTCTTGCTGTTACGATTTCCGAGTGACCGATAGCATGGTATTCGCGTTATTCTCGTTTTTGTCGAAAAAAAGAATACCTACCACGCAGTTTGCAGAGGGCTGTAGTACCTAACATGTACATGTTAGGTAGCCTGGGTGGACAGGCGTGAAATTGGACGACTGTCCTCGAAATGGCTAACGATTGGCTTCACACAACCTTTTAAATGCAGCATCACAGTTCCATATTATACTGGAAACGTAAACATTGTTTTTTTTTCTAACGGAGTTTACCATTAGTGCCCGATACTGTTAACAGTAGGTTGTTTCTGTCTCCCTCAGCTAACCCACTGTCTCACACAAATAAGGTCTCACACGGCTATCTATCTCACGCACATCTGTGTCTCGTGTTCCATGTCTCAGGAGGCGGCCACGTCGGCTCTGCGAGCGCTGACAGCCGACCGACGACTGACCCTGTCCCGCCTGTCGGAGGCAGAGGCCGAACGGTCCCGACTTCTCGCCGGGTTCGAGCAGGCCAAACGAGCCTGGCAGGTGGAGCTGCAGCGTGTCGACAGGTGAGTGGACTGACTGTGACAAGCGGTTGTAGTTTGGCTATCAAACGAATTCCAACTACATCTGATTCAACAATTTGTTTATGAAATGGTGACCGGTATGTTAATTTTGCTTGCCTTTGGAGGTGCGCCTGCTAGAGATGCACATGCGTGGCTTGGCTTTGAAATTAAACTCAGCATCTCAAATTTGCCAGAGAGCAAAAATGCGTGAAACGGGAATTTGGCGGGACCCCTGAATTAATTTGGGATTTAAATGGGAGAAACGGGGATGCTGGTATTTTTTTACGGGGTTATTGTCACGCTGCACTCATATCGACAATCGGTATTAAGCTTCACTTCATACTTTGTAAAGTAAATCAATTTGCACTTCACTGATGCAAGAAACAAAGCGAACGACCTACGACCAAGAATATCTAAATTACCGACTGTGCTGTCCGGGTATGGAAGTGTTGGCGCACAATCTGTTCTGGTGGAGTTATGCTAAAGCACTGATAACGTCTCTTTTTCACTGTGCAATCTCATTCTGTGCGGGGATTTCTTCAAAGATGTCGAGGTAAGCAAATTGTCACCGTCTGCTTTACTTTGTCACAGCTATATCGTTTTTTTATGTTTCCGTAATGTTGTTGCTCTGTAGCTATTGTGTTGCATTTGATTATATATATTATTTTTGGTAAATATTCGATCCTTGGCACATGCAGTTCGCTTGCATTGGATCTGGGATTCGTCACAGCATCCTACACTGACACATGAGTTCCTAACAACTTTGTCAGATCATACTCTTCGCCGGAGTGGCCCGACCTCTATCGTTGACCTGAATTGACCCGCCACAGGACCGAGCTGGTTGATGACCTGCGGGGTCGACTGGAGGGAGCCGAGCGGCGACTGACCGAAATGGACGCCGAACACCGCGACACTAGCGCCGCGCTGCGGGAGGAGCTGGCACTGCGCACCTCGCAGATCGCCGACCTGACGGCGCAGCTGCAGCAGGCCAAGCGCACCATCGTCGAGCAGGAGGTGAACAGTGGGCGCGTGAGGGCTAACACCCGGTGTGGACGCCGTGTTTTGATGTCCAGCTCAGCCTCATCCCTGGAGTTCAATGACCTAGATCTTGAGTGAGAACAGTCTGTTTCTAGTAGTTTGCGGCTAAGGCTCCACCAACCAGTGAAGACTATCCGTCCGACTCCCTTCAGAATAGTTTCTGCCTCGGTCTTTGATCCCACTCCCATCTCCCCTCTCTGTTGTGGGCAGGTACAGAATGACTACCATCAGCGGCGGCTGAGGAGCACCACCCCTTCCAACCTGGCCCCTGACCTGACCTCTGACCTCACCCCGGACAGGTGCAGAACGATTACCTCCAGCAGCGGCTGGAGGACCGTGGCGACTCGCCGCCCCCCTCCGACCTCTCCCAGGCGCCCACGGCGCGGCTCTCCACCGGCTCTGTCAGCGACTCGCGGCTCGCCAGGACGGCCGCCACGGCGCCCCGCGGCCAGAACACTGGTGAGAGCGCGCTCATGGCGACGGCAGGGGCCATAGAGCAGGTACTGATAGGAGGTTAGGAGTCAGGGGAGTTCTGAAATAGATAGGGCCTGGAGAGCACCCAGACTGGGTCGGCGGGCCAGGCTAGGGCTATCACGGATTCTGGGGAAGGAGTTGGGTTGGCAGAAGAGGACTCTACGTGCTAAGACGGTACCGGTTGGGCAGAGCGTGGCAGGTGACATATGGGGATCAGAATAGCCTCAGGACTTGTCTGCGTCAAAGCACGGCAAAGTTTGCCTAGGTGCAGAGATGTGGGTGCTAGTGCAGTGCTCAATTAAGTGTGCAGTAGGTCAAGAAAGTATCAATGGCTGATACCGTCGTCGGTGGATAGCTATGTAGCACCTCCTCGCTAAACCTCCCCTCCGTTTGGCACAGCTCCGTCGGACTCGTCGGCCGAGGAGCGGGACCAGCTGCGGCGCCAGGTGGCGCGGCTCACCACCGAGCGCGAGGAGGCCGTGCGCACCACGGATATGCTGCGCACGGAGCTGCGTGTGGCGCTGGAGGCGCTGCAGAATCAGCGTCGGGAGGCCGACCTCCGGCTGATGTCCTCGTCAGACACAAGGATACATGTGAGTGGCGGGACATCACAGACACAGTCGGACCTTAGCTGACACCGGTGGGATTCCAGGCTGACTGCGGGGACGTCAGACAGCTGTTCTAGAACCTTTTTAAGCCTAGCTTACATCAACTCACGCGAATTGAGCGGCTTCTTCAGATCGTACAGGGACCTCTTGAACCTGTGGTACTCTAAGACTGATTCAGACACGTGTTAATATTAACTATTAAGGGCGAAATTTCCAACAAAAAATGACCGCTTCTCTGACATCCCGCCGTGTCATCAGAGGCAGGTATTATATTCTGCTGTTTCTGCGCTACTGAATGATTGTCCGCTGCAATGGAGTGTAACCACCAGCGTTCACTGACCTGACTGCCCCTCCCCGCAGGAACTGGGTCACATGGAGCAGCAGAACCGGGAGCTTCGGGCGCTGGCCACCAGGTGGCAGCTGCGAGCCGAGGCCAGCGAGCGCGTCAGCCGAGAGATCAGTGGGACGCTGGAGCAAGAGCGCACCAAACGGCTCGAGGTTAGACTTGGTCCCGTAATTGTCACCGGCAGACTGGGGTTGTTCTTAAAACAGACTGGAATCCACTCAGCATTTTCTAATAAAATTACTACAGGTATTGTCATGGAAAGAATGGGAACAAAAGTCGGCAGTGCCACCCCCCCCCCCCCCCCCACACACACACACACCCTTAATTGAAGGTGTTCCGCCGCTACTGCATAGGCGGAGTAATCCTTGCATGCGTGTTATGTCTACGCGGAGCATCACAGTAAGAAAAGGTTCCTAATTTCCTACGTAATATTTGGTCGTAAGATTTTCGCTTCAGTTAGTCTTTTTTTATTCCCTTATCATTAGCGTGATCGCCTCACTTCCAACCTTGTTTTTACCACCTAAATGACAGCGTTGCTTTTGTTCCCCAGTCTTATAGCCTCTCCTCTCTCGTTTTATGCTGGCATCAATCTAGGTCGCGGCAGTAGGGGTGGATGTTTATTGTTCAGTGGCGTCAGTGGTAGTCCGTTCGTGGCCTGTCATGTTTTCTTACTCACTAAATTTTTGCAGACACAGTATTTCGTAAAAATTGTGCGCCATTTGAACACAATAATTTGACGTATTTCGTGCTGTAGAATGGGCAATAAGGGAACGATGAAAAAGTAGCATTGTGGTATCACGGTGCTTGTTAGAGAGGATATCACCCACAAGGATATCAATGTATCCTGCGGAGTGTGGACCTCTTGGCGAAACCGAATTCTCCAATCGCCGTCTAAACTGTAGCTGTTCGGGCTGCTTGACAATAATTAAATGTTTTTTGAAGTTTTTCTGACATCCATGACCTGCCGGTTAATTTTAGCTGAAGCTTGGGTCAGCCTTTTTAACTGTGATATGCTGACTGCTGAATCTCAGCTTTCTTGGTATTTCCTAGACGTATGTGTACGCATTTCGTGCACAACCGCCAGCAATGTTTGGCTAGGTTGTCTGGTATTGGAATACGCCCATCGTCTGCGGCAGAACACCCTGTAAAAACTGCTTATTTGGCAGTGCGTCTGACGCAAAGAACCAGAAATATTTATTTAAAAGTGCGTCCATACCGTTACACCCAGAAAACTTTGCCTCGCTGGAATGCTTCCACCAACGGTTCATCGAACTGTTTTTTGGTCTATACACGGTGTTGGGCAGCTGTTGTTTGTAGCGGAACAAGGACATTGTGCCCAGTCTGGCATTGTTAGTTTGTCTTGCTGCTCTGACCTTTTTACCAAACCAACACCACACCATTCACATCGATAGTTAGGGCGATGATGCATACAAGAAAATCGATAAATTAAGATTTCTCCTACGCAAGCGATCTTCTGAATAATTGTGCGTATGCGTCTATTGTAAGGTGACTAAGCCACGTCTGTCTTTCGTGTATGGACGAGATTCATATGTCCATTACCGGAGCCGAACTCTTTCCCAGATGGAGTCGTCACTGGTGGAGGCCTCGGATAAGATGCGCGAGATTCAGCAGCAGCTGGAGAGGCAGGATCAGTACTCCACCTGGGCCAAACTTAACCAGAGCCTGCAGGTATGTAGGACGGTCCCGCACCACATGTGTTCGAAATGTGTGTGGCAACATTCGGGCTGTCCTGGAATTGGAGTACCATCTTCATGTAACATCGTCATTGTATGACCGGCTGCGACGTTTTTATCTTTTGGCATATCCAGTCCGTAGTAGTATTCCGACTGAATGTCCTTTCTGTTCTTTGTGTTACAGCTGAAGCAGGTAGAGTCCGTCATGCTCTCTCTTCTGAAGGTCGCTCCGCGCTCAGTCAGTGGCGTCACCAACTCTCCCCGCGACGCGGCGCCACCGTCGGGCGGCGGCGGTGAGGTGGCGCCACCGTCGCACTCTGACCCGGTCTCGCCGCGGGGCATTCTGAAGCGTCGGCAGTGGTCCCCGCCGCCGGCCTCCGGCGCCGACTGCTCGGGAGGTTCCCTGACCTCCACTGACGCCGAGGTGGAGGTGGGAACTGACGCCTCGCTGGCCACCACCGAGCCGGAGCGGTTCGAGGAGCTCTCCGGACAGCCGTGTGACTCGGACGGGGACGGCGACCCGCTCTGAGGGGATGAATCAGGCCGGGATCGTTTCATCAGCAGGCGGTTGTTGTGGAAAGGGACGGCTGAGATCTGAAATTGGGTCCTCCGAGCTTATGTGATGCGTCACTGGATCTCCCGCTGCCCGGCCTCTCAGTGCCAGCTGTGCCAAGAAGATCGGGAACTGACCTGAAATGTTTATCACACCTGAACGCTACGCTTAAACACATTATTCATGATCCGTAGACGTTAGACATAGGACTGCTTTAGCTAGCTAGCAGCTATTTTGGAGAGACTTCTATTGTTTTTGTTCATGAAGGAACGTAGATGTAGCAATGTTTCGACATTGGACCTAAGTACAAAGATGCTGCCATGTTTGCTCCTCACGCTCAGTCCGTGGAGCCAACTGTTGGCTGTCAAGCGAGCTCGTCGCGTTTTGGCATGGTTTTCGTGAGTAGGCAATCAATCGTTAAGTCCCTGATTGGATGCTCGTTGAGTATGAAAAAGATAGGTCAGGACCGGTCCAGCGACAGAGTTGAGCTCGTTTGTAGCATGCTAGGGACCAAATCGTCTTGAGTGCCACCATACGGCATGAAATCGGTACTGCTTTTATTGCTCTGGCCCTGTTCAGGCAGAGAGTCAGCTGTCGCATGATATACATGGAACTACCTTTTCCTCAGGCCTTTATTTCGTCTTCTGGTCGCCGGCTGCGGTTGGATATCTGCTCATACTGACGACACAGGATCGGTTGCGGGTGGGATATTTCCACTGGTCTGTCCCTCTGAACACAAACAGGAAGACCCCGTGGTCTGGGCGAGTGTGGATCTAGCGGAGGGAGGGGGGAGGTAATGATGGGTGCCAGGCGCCTCGGACCGTAGACGATGACGTCCTCTGACCCGACTCTAGACTAGTTCACCACCCCAGGATGCTGGAGTCGCAGTCTCCAGCTGGGGCGACTTCAACAGGGCACCACCCCTGGATGTTGGAGTCGCAGTCTCCAGCTGGGGCGACTCCAACAGGGCACCATCCCTGGATGTTGGAGTCGCAGTCTCCAGCTGGGGCGACTCCAACATGGCGCCATCCATGGATGTTGGTGGCACCGACCACTTTGGAGACGGGCCTAACAATATCACAGACTCGGCTGGGTGCGACGGTACCCAAAGCTTGTTCAATAACAGTCTTCAAGTGATGTGGTAATTGCTGACTGCTAAGGTTTTATTTCTAGTTTCCGCCTATTTTCAAGTGATTGATTGGACGCATAACCCATTCAGCATGTATTATGCCCCCTGTAACCACGATGGGTTCGTGCAGACTGAGGATTGAGGAATCGTTTCTGTGTCCGTTATGTGAGACAGAGTAGGGTGTTCATGGGCTGAAAATACGTATCTGGGTCGTTGGTCAGGTTTGTTGGGGATATGGACTAGCTAGTAGATATGTTTAGGTCGTTGGTCATATAGGGCAGGGCCTGTGCAGGTTATGGACAGGGCCTCTGTCGGTCATTAAAGGCAGGATGGGGTCTCGATGGGCCTGTGTGGGTTATCTACAGGGCCTTTGTCGGTCACTAGGAGCCGGGACGGGGTGGTAAGACTGTTCAAAATAGGCAGCGCCTCCGCCCTGTAGGTTGTCGTTGATGGGACGCAAACGCCTGCACTGGGATTGCCGAGTCTCGACTGTAAACATGTCCCATTGCTGGACCGTGGACGGCCAGGCCAGAGGCCCATCGGGGTCGGACGTCCGCCTCATACTCCAAATTATTTATAGCGTTGGGAAATATAAAATTTACAGATCCTGTAAATGTAAAAGCTCAAAACCGAGGAGTGCGATGAAAACTGATTGGCATTGACGCCGAGAAAACATACTAAAATTTCTATTTAGAATTCGGTGTACCTATTTGTACGGGGCAAGTTTATGTCACAATGGTCCACCCTACTCATGTTTTTCCTGTTCAGGACAAAGCACAGGAAGGGCTGCTATAGGTCAATTTTTCCATAGCGAGATTCGAGAGCGTGTATAAAACACATAAACACTCGCGTCATTGATGTGGATGAAAACCACCAACTCATTTTAACTTGTCAGCGGCTATTCCAGATTCTAAATCAGCATGGTTCGCTCTAACTATACAGACTCGCGGACATTCTAACAAGTCCTGTCGACATTATGAGTTTTGCCAGATGTTCTCGAACGAGCGGTACGCAGAACTGAATCAGAGCGCAGAGCACTGGGATGTCGCCAGTGACGTCATTGGTCACGTTTTCCCTCGCAGACGTCCCTTCTTTTGACGTCAGTGGTCATATATTCCGATATTCTGCCCTCTATCCCTGCCAGGGCCGGATGTGCCTGTGACGCTGCACAATGTAACTGTCAATTCGGAGTAAACTGGTGAATTTTGCAGACCTCGTATACTGCAAGCAATGCACATCTTCATCGATGTTTGGTCATATTATAATTGTCCTGGCGTCTGTGTACCTTCGTGTGTATGTTCAAATAGGAGCAAATCTGACTCATTTGGACTCGGCCATGCATGTCTAGTCTGCTGTGGATACTTGCTAGCCTTGAGACGTCTGTAAGCCCCTCGCTTCCTGGTTTGGAGATGGTTGACATGGGCACTGGGCAGCTCCCGCCTGACAACCCAGCTCCCGCCTGTGTGCTCTCTACACAGGCACGCTGTCTCAACAACGTTGAGTTGTCCGTTTTCATTCTCCTCTTCTTGCTTGTAGCTTACCCGTATCGAGTGTATCCACGTGATTTCAGCGATATGTCGGGATTGTCGGCTCAACACCTCCGAGCGTGTTCACTGTCCACTCTCCCAGGCGGTAGCGATGTGGCCCACCGAACAGGGCGACCCTGGGAGAGCGCCGTGTTGGGATGACGGTGCCCGCTCCCGTCCCCAGCGATGCCCTTCCTGGTTCGCCTGCACTGTACTGACTCACGATTGAGAGGTGGACCGGCGGCATACAGGAGCTGACAAGTGACACCGCTCACGACAAGAAGCGTGTGTTGATTGCTGATGAGCATGACACATGCACTTGCAGTATGCATGCAGAGAGAGGACACCGGAACAAAGCCGAACAGCACCTTTAGAGGCAGCTAGAGCTCGAGAAGGAAGTAACAAAATCAGAGATAGAGCAGAAACATCGAAACGTCCAATCAGAGCTAACACAACCAGCGATCGAGCAGAGCTAACAAAACCAGAGCTGGACCCATGTGATCGGAAGCGTAGTCGGGAAGACCACCGGCAGCTGAGACTGTGCAGATCCGCCGGAACCATAGTCAGGACACCGGAACCAGAGGCCGGAACCGTGTCACCGGAACCAGACACCGGGCCGAGCCACTGTTGGCCGCCGGAACTGACCGGAGGACAGTGCCGGCGGCAGCGGGCCGCCGGGGGCCGGAACTAGCAGTGATAGGAGACAGCGCACTGCTCTGCGGAGACTGACGCGGCCTGTTTCCTTAGAGATGCTGAATCCGACGTGTCAGCTTTTTTTTTGTCCTTTGTTCAGTTTGGTGCTAGCGGGCCAATGCGAAATTTTCGATCACTTTCAATGTCGTATAGGAGTACCTACCCACTGTTTTATTTACCATGCTTAGATTATACATGCTGACATCGGGCTTTGCGTGTTACCGGCAAGAATACCTATTATATCTGAATTTACAATGCTCGTTGGATGCTGGTTTTGTGCAGTTTACCTACTGGCTGATAGATTGTATCAAAAATTCACCTTTTTAGCGCATTAGGAAGGAAGCGCATGACGATAGTAGGTACACCGCCTACCAGTTGTGGTGAGCAAATTACCTCTCCGTACCATTTCGTACCGTCTACACACACACAGCTGTGCCATCGGAAGGAAATCACCTCAGCTCCCTGGTGACCTTCACGTCACATGTTGAGTGAGTCACACCACGCCAGTGCTACCTTGAATGGCCGTTTTTCATGGCGCGGCCTCCGTTTCACGGTCGCCGGTGAGGCAGTGAGCTTCTCGGTTAGCTGTGGTCATTGTGTGGTAGGCGAGACGCTGTTGAATGCCGTTAGTGGTTGCTGCATGTGATTTCCGTGGTGACTGTTCCACACGCAGGCGGAGGTGGTCGGTAGAGCCCGTCTAAAAACACCGACTCATGACGACCTCGGGTGTGGATAGGAACGGGAAATGATAGTGGTGGCCCACTTATCTAATCAGTGACGAGCAAATTGCTGATTTCATGTTCAGCAATTGGCACCTTTCTTTGACCTTGCATCCTGATGGAGCCGTTTACCCGTAGGCTGAAAATCGGTCGTAAATAAGTTGATGTGGGCAACTTCAACTGTTGTTAGTCTTCAACCATCGGGTAAATGTTGAATGAATGGAGACGGGTTTGTTTTAATCCCGTCTTCAATAACCACTTTGCATTTCCTCGGCACGCCAGAGCTTAGCGTCGTCACCAAATATTTATTGTTTCCATCACTATTCATCGTGACAAATCTAAATCTTACCGACATTGACCTGCTCCCCTCCCTTTCCCTTGTGGGGTGGGTGCGGGGTCTTATGACCCGGAAACTGGGTGAGGGTGGATGGGGGGAGGGGGGTGGCACCAACCGGCCGTGCGCTATCACCCCTCTGACACCGCGGTGACACGGCCCAGTTTGCCCAGTTCCGTGTCGAAAGGCACGGAAGTCTCGTGACGTTTCGGGACATCTAAGTTCTCCTTGCCCCGGTTCGGCATGTCAATTGTTGAGTATTAGTGAATGGTGAGTGATGACTGATGAGTTTAGCATGAGCTAAACTCGAGCATGAATTGAGACGATTACAGTTACGTCTTGCAAGGGAATTGCGTCGTTCAAACTCAGCACAGTGTTCATTGCTCGTGTGGGTATTTGGTGCTAATGTGCATCGCCCGTCACTGAATCAGGTGTCAATCAACTTTCCTCTCTGCATTCTTGAGGTGTAGGTATTCATATCCCTCATGAGCCACAACTGCGCATGCGATGAACGTATAACCGCCATGGGAATTCTACGCATGATGACACTAAATGACACATCACAATTTGTCGCCAACCGTCGTCATTGTTGATGCATGGAAAGGTTGGCCCGCGAGAAAAAGTCCCCGCGCCGCGCAGTGATGTAACTCGTCGCCATCTGGCGAGTTTCTCGCGTGAGCCCCAGGAGACTCTGGGCGAGTGCTCGAGTCGAGAGGCGTCGAGTCGTGCACGGTTTTCGCCCGGTCATGCCGAGTCATTGCGACTCCCGTCCGTCCCGCGGTGGCGACATGCCTCCGTAACTCCATGACTGAGTCTGATGGGAGTGGGGGGTGTTGGAGTTTGGACTCTCGGGCGAAGGGAGTTCAGATTCGGACGGAAGGAGTTTCTGCCTTTCAGCATCCTCTAGCACCGAAGTAACCCGCATTGTATAAACGTACACATTCTCCTCATTCTTATTCGTCCGTGCGGCGGCATGCCTGTGACGATCGCAGTAGCGATCACGGGCCGCAGTTAGCATTGAGAGACGAGTCCACAGTGACAGCCTCCAGTTCACAATGTCAGCCTTAGTTCACAGTGATTCATTCGTTCTCAATCCACAATGGTAGGCCTCAGTGCGCGGTGACGGTCCGCAGGTACGAGTACCCGCCACTCGGCCGTCCCTGGGCCGACGGCTCTCGGTGTCGGCGAGCAACCTTGGAATGTTTTTACACACGCCGACTCA